GGAAGGAACCAGTAATTTATAAGAGAACTGATTTATATTCTCTTTACACATTCTACAAAATGCATAACTACATTTATTAATTCATCATTAATTCCCTTTTGTAAGAGTTGTTTTCAGTTTTAATTAATCAATGTTACAGATGTTCCTCTAGAATTAAGCACAGCCATTATATCAAGCAGTGCAAAGATTTGCAGAGGAGGCTTGGAATAAATTATAATTTGTCATTGCAATGTATGGGAGACCAGGTGCTTTACTTGTCAGCACCATAAACTTAGTTTGACAAATAACCTGCATCCAACAATTTATGTAAGGAATGGAAATCTGAAAGATTGCCATTGGACCTAAATAGAATGTGGCTTTTTGAAACTTGAAAGGTAGAATGTAGACACAAGGAGAGCTTAGGTTAATGCATTTTTGCACTTTGTGTCAGAGAAACCATCCATCACTAACACATGAAATTACAATATTGACAACCAAAAGCCTATTGTTTTGTTATGGTGAAGTACCTTGCAATCCACCCTAATTCATTTTGAAATGTGAAAGTGTTGTAATCACAAACCAATCAGTGTTGTTCTTTCTAAATTAGATCATTTTGAAACTTGCAAGTGACTGTTGGCTATTTTAGGAAGCTTGCAATTCTGCTTTGGGAATCGTATTGAGAGGCATTTACTTTCAAGCTATTTTTGAATTATGCCACAAACTACAATGAACTTTTACTGATGATATTTGCGATATTTTTTAAAATATTCATGTTTATTCCATTTCATCATAACATGTATTTAGAACAAGAGTATTAGAACACATTTTAATGATTTTGAGCCATGATTTCCCTGTGGAGTTTATCCTGACTGCCGCCTGTAGTTAGCCCCAGGGAAGACAGATTTCCAGAAATACCAGGAGTCTTAAAACCTCTGGTCCATAAAGAGTATTTATCTCCTCTAAGCTCTGAATATTTTTAAAATTTACTTTAAAATCAATATCTTCTATGATCTTAATATCAATTGTAAAGAAAAATGCTGTTCATTAAACCTAGATTTGAATCAGTTTTCTGGATTAACAGAAAGCATAACAAATATCTGGCCTCCAGCATTTGGTGTTTGTTGGGAATGTTTGGCTGTGGTTGGTAGGTGTCAATGTAAGGCTGTATTTCTTTTTCATGTTCTAAACTCTTTTTTGGTCATGTCAACAAATTATATAGATGTTCTGTCATTTGGACTAAACGATTCTTTGGCTTACTATCAAAAATGTGAACTGAACAAAGGTAGAGTTACGTAGGATGCTTACGTAACTATAGAGGAATAGAGAAAGTAAACAATTTAGAACGATATGTTGATGCAAACTAGATATCTATGGTTGAGGGTTGTGAATGGCAGGATTAAGACAGATACCATGAAGTATTTCAATGTACAGTGAGTAATTAATAGCTGGAACAGGTTATCAGCAATTGTTATTGAAGCCAGGACACTGGACTCTGTTCAGAAACTGTTCGTTACTAAATTGAGAAGACAATAGGATTGGTATTCTAGAAGGATGAGATCAAATGGTCTGAATGCCTTTCATCCAAACACTGCTTGTAATCTGTCCATCACAACTTTCGTGGGCTGAATCTGAATACACAAATATTACATATATTTGGAAGTGAAGGGCAGTGAGAGGAACATTTTGCCATATATTACTGATGCTAACTTGAATGAATGATTGTAGCTCCTACACTCATTTGCATGTGTGCCATCAGTGCACTCTTTATGTGAGCAATAAAACATTTCAAATGAGAAAGTGGTGTTCTTGACACATTGTCACATTTTCACTGCATTTAAATGCAAAAGGATTTTCGTTGCTTTGTAATTAAATAGTAGCTACCACAGCAAATGATCTTTGAAAGAATCATTTAAAAGTGAAATGCCATGTAGTCATTCCTCTTTTAGTTACTTGAATAATAATCAGATGATTGAACAAAGGATTATTCCTCTGTGCTGACTATTAATTAATATGTATGCTTAATAAGACAGTCATCTGTTCAAAGCTTAACCAAGCCAAAATAATCGTTTGTCACTTTCATAATAAAAAGACAGCACAACCTTAATGCTTGGAGTTGTTCTTTATTTACCAAAGCTAAAGATATAGGTAATACAATGACCAACTCCCATTTTTTTCCCTTTCAAGAGTTTAAAATATCAAAATGCTCCTCCAATGGCTCTGTGAGTTTATCCTATGAGCCAACGACCCATGCAGACTGAGAATGTCCCAGGTTAGATCATAGTCTGTACTGCGTTAACTGACTGCAGAATGGTAATGGAAGCACTACAATTGGTCTCAACGCCCCAGATTAGAGAAGGTAAAATCAGCTAAGGTTCTCGTTCCTAAGTATAATACAGCAATCCCTTTATAGCATAGGGTGGGTGTGCCCATACACATTTGAGTGAGGACACAATTATGCTAATATAAATCAGATATAATAATACTGGAGTCCCATCTTTCACATAAAAAATAAACTTCACAAAATCACAATATAAAATGGGAATGAAATTAAATGAATGTAGTTATATTGGCAAACACTGTTCTTGCAAAGAACTGTGAACAGTGAGATGAGATTTGATTTGACCTAATCCAAATTAATTTGAATTTGGGGGAAATTTGGATTAGGGAAGAAATATAAATCAGTTTAACTAGACAAAGGTTCCACCTTTTATTTTAAATATCAATGGCAGGGAGGTGCCTAAAATAATAAAGTGGACAGAACCTAAAATTAATAATACAATGATGGGATGATTGGGGAAAAAACATTGTGAATAATGCAGAATGTAATGTAGGCAAATGTGGCAGCAATGAAGATTAGAGAAACATTTGCACAACTAGCTCTTTAATAACATTATAATTAAATATAATTTCAGCATTTTATGCATATTTGTCTAGAAGACGTGAAAAGTACTATATCAAATGCAAGTATAATTATTATTATATATTTGGATTTTGGTTAAGTGCACTAATGGGAAATGGAACAAGGAGTGTAAATTAAACTCCCAACTCTACATCACTGGGCTGATGGCAGCAGTGTCAGTTCACTTCCAGTAGTATAAGTGATTAGTGTGAATTATTGCCCAACTTGATATCAACATTATTGGCTGGAAAGGTGGCCAGCTAAAATGTGGACTCTACCAATATTGCTAATGTGGTGACATTGATGATCAGAAAATTGATATTGCCTCTGAAATACTCTGCAGCTTAGAGTTATTGAACACAACCCCAACTGCGGCATTTTGAGTGTTAAGCAACCCGGGAGTTGAAACTCACTACAATCTGGAAATTATTCATCGCAAGCTTCTTTCTTCTCCTACTCATGCTGAGCAGAACTAACTGCAGCTGTCTAGGTGTGAACCTGGTAACATTGCTACCAGGCTACCAAAGCAACAAAAAGAATTACAAAACTGAAGAAAGATGAATTCTGAGTTCTTAAAGGAATATAAGCGCGATCAAACATTTGGTTTCCTTCACCCCTGATGTTTGAGATTCTCAATCTGGAATCAGATATCAGGATTGTTTTATGCATTTATTAAAATTCTATTGTAACCAATAAATACTTTTTAACCTTGTAAAAAAACAGTAAAGGGAGAATAAATTGGTTTATTAGTGAGATTATCAGACAACAACAACAGAATTACATTCATAGAGCGCCTTTCACGTCGGGAGGATGTCCCAAAGCACTGAACAGTCAGGTGTCGGGGCCCGAGCGTGGGGTAGGGGTGAAGGAAGGCAGAGAGGTGTGAGGGACACCAAAGGCACGGTCGAGGAGAAAGGTCTTGAGACCGACCTTGAAGGAGGCAAGGGAGGAAGCGATGCAAAGGGACCGTGGGATGGAGTTCCAGAGTGTGGCGGTTCGGGTGGGAGACATGGAGCAGGTCGGAGCCCGATGAACGGAGGGAGCGGGCAGGCTCGTAGGGAGTCAGAGAGGTAGGAGGGGGCAAGGCCATGGATGGTCTTAAAGGTGAGGACGAGGATCTTGAACTCGATCCTCTGGGGCATGGGGAGGTAGTGGAGTCGGGCGAGGGTGGGAGTGATGGGGTCACGAAGCCTAGTGCGTGAGAGTACACGAGCTGCAGAGTTTTGGATGATCTGCAGCTTGTGAAGGGAAGAGTTGGAAAGGCCGATGAGGAGGGAGTTCCCGTAATCCAGCCTTGAGGTGACGAATGCATGGGTGAGGGTTTCGGCAGCCTGAGGGGTGAGGCAGTGGCAATTTAATTTAACCTAATTCAAGGAAAATGGTTAATGTCCGATGATTTAGCCATTTATAAGAACAATTTCAATCCCCAAATTAGATTACAGTCTTGAAATTGCTCTTTTGTATCCATTATTTGTAGTGTGTACACTATTAATCTTTCTGGTGCTAAAAAAAACAAATCGAGGAATAAAAATATGTAATTGTGTGAATGGAAAAGTAACTGTTTGTTTGATTCAAGTAATTCCTATTCAACTTTTGTGTAATTAGCCTTCCTGCTTACTTGATAGCTGCAAATGAAGAGGAACTACCAAAATTGTACATCTCATAATTCTGTGTTCTCCTATTCAAATTGAATCGAATTAAACGCAAGAAAGCAACTAATGGCTCCTTTCTAGCTCCATAAATTATTCTGGACTAATTTATTAAATATAATTTAATGGGACACAGTTTGATTTGAGGTTTGTGCATTGCTGTGAAAGTGATCGAAAATTAATCAACAATTTGTCTCAACAAAATCAGTGAAATTCTTTATTCCTCTTCAAGATTTATCCTGTAGAATTCATATTGCATTAAGATGTCTGCATCATCTTCCCCAAATATTTGAATTGTAAAGAAAAGGGAGCACAATTAGGCATTATCGGATCCTGTTGTATTATACTATGTGGATTGTGTTTGACGTATTAATAATATCTGTAATGGATCTTCATATTTTTCACGAAATGTGAAACAAATTTTTCAAATGCCATAATTGGTTTATAACTAATATTTGCTTATTTTATTTCAGACTTATTTCTTACCACCAAGATTGATGATAAAACTTACTTTGAGATATGGGAAAACAAGGTATTTATTATTTTGTTTTAGACGTGATTAAAATGAAAATATGACTATGGTAGCTTTCCATGCATTCTGTGTAAGGTAGGAAATTAATATAGTAGTGAAAATTGCAGAACAGATCCTGATATTCATGGAAGAGCCTTTAATGCAAAGCTGTGTGACTTTCCATTCCTGCACCCTAAGGCTCCACTTCAATGCTTTGTCCTATTCCCAGCAGTTACTTTCATGCTTTTGAATAATTGGACCACTTTTCTGAGACAGTACTATTACATGGTGTTTTCAGCTTCTGGGCTCAAATTATTTCATTACATTTAGTTCTGAAACTTGACTCAGTGTTTTATTAATATTATTGGTATTTGATTTATTCTAAGTCAGAGTTTTCAATAATTGGGGAAGACTTGTAATCAAGAAGAGTGCCTCTGTTACTTTTTCAAGAATTGTGGTTTTACATTGTGTGGAGTTTTTTTTAAAAAATAGAAAAGAAGCATTGTAGAGATATGTGGCATATGTTATGGATGTTCTTCTGTAAGCCAGTCTAATGAATGCACTTTGATAATGTGCAGTTAGATTAAGAATCCCATTATCACATATTGCAGAGATTAAAAAAAAACACAACCTGACTCCTATAACAATATATGGCAGAAGAGCAATAATGCCACACTTCCACAGAGAGATTTGCATCTACTTTTTTGGAGAGATCCTGAATGGTGTTGTGTTGCCCTGCTGGAAGGGTGAGTGGGTATTATGGATGCAGGGTTAGTATGTAGGCTTCGCCTGCTTCCAATCAATGGCTCATCTTTGACATGAAGAATGGATAATTCAGTGATTTACCAGAGGGCAGCCAAAGCCTGTGGAGCCAAAATCCAAGAGGCAGCACCTGGGAAAGGGGGAGAAGGGAACACAAGAATCAAATCATAAGGCCATCTTATCATGCTGATAGAAGAGAAATGGCAACTCCATGGGGGGGAGGGAATCTGCTCTGTACGGAATAGCTTGTTCATGTTTTATATCTGTTGACAATTGTTTTGAACTCATCTTTTTAATAAGTTGCTAATGGTTTTTACTCCTGACAGGATGGAAATTTCTCAAAAGCTCCAGCCCCTTATGACAAAAAGCCTCCAAATGCAAAGACAATTGGACAATCTGCTTTTGCTGATTTTGGTAAGATTCTGCCATTCATTTTCTTCCTTATTTTTCTTCAAGGTGACAAGTATTAGCCACTCGCTCTTTTGAATTGATCACACTCATACTTATTGAATCCCTAAATGCAGAAGTTTATGAGCATATTTATTCTCCAAAAGGAACCAAATCTCTGCTTTCATTATAACCGCAGGCCTCATAAAAAGCACAGCTGTGTTCCATCTTTCTATTTGCTGATTGCATCCTTGGCATGAGCCCTGTAAACTGCAAAACACATTCACTGGGCTCTTTTCAAATAAATGGTAAAATAACAATTTTCCAGCATGTTTTAATTTCATGCTTTGGGTTATAATCTATTCAGTTTATTTTTGCATTCTGCAGTTACAAATGGTGCATATTACTTCTTGAGGTTTTCTATAATAATGTTCCTTGAACCTCCTCATTAGCTTCTCAGCAGTTCCAAAATCTATCAACCATGTTTTAATATGCTTTTTGGTTACGGGTGATAGTTTTGTGCTTGTCAATCACCTCTTCCTTGCATTTTCTTCAGCAGGTAGTTTACAGCAAGGTTGTGCTGATTATTATCCTGGGTCACATTCAGGGTTTACTCTTTACTCTTCAGTAATGATTTCATTGCCGTTTCCATCAAAAACCTTTAACATAGATATAATCCAATTATCCCTCAACCAAACGAGAATCAAAAAAAAAAAACTTTGGAATTAAAAATGTACCTTCTGGAATTTATACAAGTCATCTGTGAAACTAGCTTTTAAATTTATTGAAAAGCTTTTTTGATATAAAATGTTTTGAAATACAACCATAATGCTGTCTACATTATGTATTACAGCAACCACAGTTGTCTGGCTGCTTTTTGTTAAGTATATTTCATTTTAAAATTGGTTATAGTTGTGGACTCTCCAGTACCACCATGTCAAAAACACATTGTATTAACTGCTTTTATAAGAGAAACTGGAGTAGGATTAAGCTTAATGTTGATTGGTGTTTTGGACTCCTATGGGATAATTTCAGTAGTTTTCGGTCGGGCCACAAGAGGGAGAAATTCATCTTGGATGAGGGAAGGAAATTAGTACAACTAGTCACACCCATAAATTCATGCACACTTGGGCCCAGTCACGAATCAGAGCCACACTAATGGCTTGTAAAATTTCTAGTGTACTATAAACTGTCCTGGCTCACGAAAGAATGCGAAACATTGACATCAATAGATGCCTAAAGGGAAAGTTGTGATGAAGAATATACAGTTTAGAGTGTGTGTTGGGGGAGGGGGGTGGGGAGTTTACTACAGAAATCAAATCTCAAGTAAATTTTTTAATTTTTAAAAACAATCTCCTCACTTCTGTACTCCTGCCCCTTTCTACCCTGATCCGCTTCGTGTGCACTAGTGAGTGGGGAAGATGTTCGTAAGACCTTTTGTCAGTCCCTCTCTGACATCAACTTTTGGCGTGTGTAAAAATGACCCAGGTTGATTTGTCATGTTATGATACCAAAGTGGCAGAATATGGATTCATCTGTAACATAATAAAAAAANTTAAATAAAACGTGGATCTGTGGTTGGATAGTGATAGCTCAATAGTGTGTTAATAAATTTGTTTAATGGTGCCCATTGTTTGGGGAAAAGGAAAGTAAGACAAGTGCACTCGGATATTGTTTCAATTACAATGGCAAAACAGTAAATGTGATTTAGTTTGTTAGAGTTAACATATGTGCCTCTTGTGTATTCCTTCTGCATTATACAATAGTTTTTGATTTCATCAGCATTTTCAGGCACATGTTTGGAACAATATTGATTGATTTGCAAATAAAATGTCAGAAGATCAATAGCTTGATTTCCATGCAAGGAAATCTAGTCTCCGGGGATTCTAAATAATAGGAGTATTGTGACACAATCCTTGTTCAAACGAAAGAAAATTCAGCAATGCATGAGAATGGTTTACTTCAACACGGCTATTACATGCCTTTTTTTGACATTTGAGCGTGAAAAGTGGGAACACAATCTGATGGCTCTTTTGTTCCTGAGAGGCAAATCTCAGTTTGTTATAAATCGCTGACTGCATTGTTTATTTGTGCAATGAAAGATTTGTTAAAATTAGTTCAGCCACAAAATTAAGAAATACTCCAGGAGTTCTAATTCTACTTATTAACATTTGTTATCAGAAATAAAAAGGAAATGATCTGTCTAGATCATTGATACAAGAAACAAAATGTATATTTTGAAAATTGCAAAGGCTATATTGCAACCTCAGGCTTCTTAAGGTTTTTTTTAAAAAAAACATTTTTTAACCCATTAGCACTCATCAGATTGCTTCATTAGATTTAATTTTAAAAATGCCATTTCGCAAACAAATGTTTTTTGATAGGTTTGTCTATGCAGCAGGTTGGAGGAAGATCCCCTCAGTAACATTCTGTGCTGCTAATCCTGCAGATCATTTTTAAGAGATGTGAATTCAAACCAAGCCCCATTGTCATCTTTAGATCTCCAGTGTTGCAAGAATTTAACATATTCAATCTCTGTGTACTTGTCTTATCGAGCTACAACTTCAATTTAAAAAAAAAAATATTTCCATTCGAGGTTTTACCTTACTCTGTGGTGGTATTGGGAGAAAGGGAAAACATCTTTCAACACTTGCCTATTTAGGTCCTTTAATGTGCCTCATTTCTACTCCAAATCGTTTGGAATTAATGCCCCAGTGGACTGACAGTTACTGTGTACTGCTTGTCCCCTATGATGATTTTAAATAGTGAGAACTTCTTTCCTGGGAACAAGTGGTACATACAAACTAGGAATCTTAAGATGTTTACCCATAATTTGAAGGGGAAAGGAGATGGCTTGGCAGCCCAAACAGCCTGAATAAATGAGTTCACTTCAGAAAGTGAACAAATAATGAAAGGAGTCACTATATGAATGAGGATTAGTTTCCTCTTTTTAAGCAAAAACATATGGTTGTGTAACTCATTTATCCAAAACATTATAATCCAGAATTTTCAAAAGATCGTTCAATTGTATAATTTCTGCCTAAAATATCAAGGCTATACCATGTGCAAAACTGCATGCACATCTAGTTTAATTTCTTACATGGGCTTATTTTAATGATATTTGGTTGTAAATTAATCCAGTTCCATTTGGACTACTGCCCTCAGGTCCACGTCAGTTTAAAAAAAAATCTTTTCATTTCAGACAAGCAATAAACCAATTTAAAATGATTATTTATTATGACCTGTAGTGAAATGGATCTACTCAGTTGAAAATATATTTAAATCAGGTTTTCTTTGTGCATGTCTAAACTAATATATTGTTCACTCAAATTGAAGAAAAACGGAAATGTGCTGTCCATTGTCAGTTGAAAGCCACTTTTTCAGGTTTAATAATTACATAAGCTTTGCATATAACCAAATTAGTTTGATTGCTGCATTGCCAATCACCATTAACTCTTTTGAGCCCTAATTACTTATCAGTAATGTGTTTTAACAATGCGTTTCCCGGCAGATTAAATCTACAGAGCATTTTTAAATAGGTTATTAATGTTGAATATTATGTAAACAGTTACAAGGTTATGTTTCTTTGCAAATTAAATCTACAGCATTTTTATGCAGATTATTAATGTTGAATATTATGAAGTAAAATTATGAGGTTATGAAATCGCTCAACAATTTTTACATTTTCCAATTAATAAAATGAATGCAGCCTTTTTTTTTCTTACAGCAATGCTATATTAGTAATGGTCAAGAGCAATACAGAGTACCTCATGTAATGAACAACAAATTAAAAATTATGTTATATAGAACCTTTCACATCGGAAGGACGTCCCAAGTCGCTGGATTCAGTCTTGCTGACATTTTTCTGGCTAAGACAGCTTAAATGTTCTATATATAATCAGTGATTTTTGAATTTAAAAAATCAGAACCAGAAATCTTGAATTTTGCAAGTTGTTGTTGCAACAGACCAGCATTTGTTTTGGAAAATCCCTTGTATTGTAGTGCTAACATTAATGCATTTTAATATGTTGCTTCATAATTTTGAATTGTGTCATTTTTTTTCAAGCCGACAGGTATTTTTTTTTCCTAATCATAAGACTTAAGTTTCACTCATTACACTTCAGTGAATTTAAAACATGTTTCCTACCTTCTGGTTATCCAGTTTTCCTAGTTTATATCCCCCTCCTAATCCAAATTTATGACAAAATTCATTGTTTATTCATCTCAATGTTGCTTATGGAATATTACTGGCAGAGATTAGCTGCCGTGTTTACCTATATAGCAAAATTCATTTTCATTTAATTTCCTCTCCATTATATTTTGTAAAGTGTTTCAAAATATTAATGATTTTATATGCAAGGTGTATGTGTTGTTTCAGATGGGAATGGACAACAGGAACACCTACTGCCTGTCTGTATGGATGCAAACTGCCAACAAAGTTTAATTTATCGGAATGACCCGGGATCTGAAGAAGTAAGTCATCTTTCAGTGCATTGAATAATGCAGTTATATTGTTTTAATGATACAATAGAGGGGTGGGGGGATTACAAGTGTTATGTTTGCTGACTACTACAAACATTTTATACTGGGTTGCTGGCTAATTTCAAGCCGTAGCTAAGATCAAAAGTGCAGATAGTCTACACAGCTACACAAGCTGAGAAACACTGAAACTGAGGTAAGTATTTAAAGTTTTCTATAAAGAAATATTTAATTACAGGGAAAGAATTGAGTTCATGATGGTAATGTCTGTTACACCTAAGTAAAATGTTTAGGTTTTTGTTATTTAGTAATATAGGAACATTCTATTTTCAGTATTATTCTTCCCTTTCTCTTGGCAGGCAATTGTTACCAGTTTAAACAAGTGCCCTTTGCTCTCCCCCCCCCCCCCCCCCCCCCGTCAATATTATGGAAAGTAGTAAAATAATGGCTTCAGTTGCAAAAAGCAGTAGTTTTCACTATGACAAGAGCATTGACATGGTCAGGAATCCCAAGGACCATGCACCTTTTGATTGTATTCCCCTTCACTGTCTCAGGGCACTAAGGACAATTGGAATGCCCCAACCTATTGCCTTGACAAAGATAAACTAACTCAGCATGGATCATAAATCAGAACTCTTACTTTCTATCTAATGCTGCAGTGTTTGATGCTTTTACTCATTAGCCTGTTAGAGAAGCTATCTGTTTCTTTCTTGAAATAACCACAATCATTTTGTTTTGTTAATTTTTTTAGCTCATTGAGATGAATTTATTACATATTAATTGGTATGAAAATAGTTACTTTCTAGCTGGTTCCCTTAAAATTGACAGAACATTTTAAAGAGTTTCTTAAGAACCTAAAAGCCTACTGCAAAATCAAATGTTTTCAGTGTCTGTACAGCTTCAGCTAACCGGCCATCTGCCCAGAAAGAGTGAACAGCCTCTCAACTGCAACAAGTACTTTGCAGTAGTCCCATTCTCAGCAGTTTCACCAGACTAACAAGAGGCATCTTATGTACTATAATGAATGGGATTTACTTGTCGCCTAATTTATACAATTAGGTTCAAGTAAAAGGGGATAACAATTTCACAAGTGTTCCTTTTCCTTCCATGCCCAACTTACAAATAAATGATAACACCCATCTTCGAAATTGATTTGTGAGAAGTGGTATGTCTGCTTTAAGCCTAGCATTGAAACTGGATTGTGCTTGTTTCCGTTCTAAGTTGCATTAAATTGCATTATGTTGTATCGTATTGTGAAAAAAAACATTACTGTATTAATGTTACCTTGGAATTGGTTGCCCAGCAACAAACACCATATCATTCAGCTTGACCCGGGCTGTTTGTGCTTCTGACAGCTGTCTGTTTTTTCATATCTGCATGGGATCAAAATATACAGTTTGACAGTCTTTGCAGGTCATTACAAAAAAGGCTGTTATAGCCTTGCCAACATAAATGGGGGTTGTATATGCTCATTGTCTGAACATGTACTTATATTGTCTTAACTATGCTTTCAAGGTTCATGGGTATAAGTGCTCCCTGAATACAGATGCTGCTGCCAGTTTGGGGCAGTTGATCACAGTACATTCAATGCTTAGATTGTCGGCTGGACTTTGTAAATTCCCATCTGTTTTGTACGTTTTCAGCCCATTGATTGCCACACTGGAAAAGAATTACAGTGTTGCATCCACTCAGATTTCTAATCATTTTACTGCCGTAATGTTAGTCCAAGTAAAATAAATGTTGAACACAATTTTGAATAAAACATTTAATATTTTACCTTTGCTCACCATGTTATCACTTTCTTTTCCTTGTATTTTTCCCTATTTTCCCTATCCCTCACTCCCACATTTTTATTGTGACCTTGGTTTTATCATTTTACTCGTTATTGTTTTACCTACCTGTTCACATTTAAAATGTTCCCAATCTTTTGTTTAGAATCTGGAAACTTGAGTTGCAGAGAAAAGTTGAAAGCTCCATTCTAGATTTCCTGCACCTTGCCTTCAAATCCTGCCTTAGGACCTATCTTTTTGACCATGCTTCCAGCCACCTTTCTTCCCCTATCCCACCCCCGCACCAAATTTAAGCCAATCTCTTAGTGATCAGACTTCTTAGGGTGAAATGTGTTTTGAACACTGGAAATAATTAATATTTTTATAGTTTTTAAAATACTGTTTAGTGAAATCTTCATTGTCAAAAAAATCATGTTGGAATTTCACTTCAAATGGTAATCTTATTATTGAGAACTACTGACTGGCAGTAGAGTTGATTAGGTGCTGCAGCAAGTTCCTCTACAGTGGAGGCTTTTCATGAAATTGCTGCATTATTGACATAGTGAATTATTCTGGCTCTGTGCTCATGCTATCGGTGCGATATCAGCTCCCTGTACCCACAAGGTCAAGCCATTATTATTGTCTGTTTGTACTGCTGCTCACAAAGCACTGCAGGGGTGCAAGTACACACATTCCAAAGTGGTGAATTCTGTTACTAGGTGTGGATTTTGCACAGGAGATGTGAGTGAAAAGAAATGGGAGTAGGTTTAAGTGTTGCACGCATTGACAGCTAAACAGAAATAAATATTATACCATGTTAAGACATGGAAGCACAGCAATGAAATAATTTGGTCTACAATACAACAGCAACAATAGCAAGATTACATTTGTATAGCCCCTTTCACGTCGGGAGGACATCCCAAGGCGCTGGACAGTACAGCATTACAGACCTGAGCTGGGGTCGGGGGGAGAGGGGAAGGGAGGTGGCCGATGGCTTGGTTGAAGAGGAGGGTTTTGAGGCGAGACTTGAAGGAGGCTAAGGAGGGGGCGAGGCTGAGTGAATGGGGGATGGAATTCCAGAGGTTGGGGACAGAGTGGCTGAAGACTCTCCTGCCAATGGTGGGATGGGTGGGTCGTGGGACGTGGAGCAGGCCAGAGCCGGCTGAGCGGAGGGAACCGGGTGGTTAGTAGGGGGTTAAGAGGTCGCAGAGGTAGGGTGGGGCGAGGCCGTGGAGGGATTTGTAAGTGAGGACCAGAATCTTGAACTGGATCCTCTGAAGGACAGGGAGCCAGTGGAGTCGGGCGAGAATGGGGGCGATGGGGTCATAGTTTGGTGCAGGAGAGGACACGAGCTGCAGAGTTCTGGATTATCTGCAGCCTGTGGAGGGAGGAGTTGGGAAGACCGACAAGCACAGTGTTGTGGTAATGCCTTGTTAAACAAGCATTGCATTTGCTAATTGAAATATGATTTCATAACATTTTTATTTTTTACATTTTGATATTTTAATGAGGACTTCTGCAAATATACACGAACTTTGAAAGATTTCAAAATATATTTCCGCACAACTGAACAAATTTCTAAGTCATTAAATTCTGCTAATTGTACACTGTAAAGATCTCAAAGATTGAAATGTAACAGATTATTTTTATAATGTTCAACCTTTTAATGACAGAGGAAACATTTAAATTCTGACAATCTCTTCATTCGTGTATCCCAAAACAACTTGCTTTCTACACCGATAAGAATTGTGCTACAGGCGGGTTGAAAAAAAACCGATTAAAAGCACCAGGAAAACAAAGTTTCAATATTGTAACTGAGGATAGTCAAGGAAGGAGGTGAAACACTAAGTAATCCAAAGGAGGTTGAAAAAGAAATTGAACAGAGTGTAGCAAACGTATTAAACAACTATTTCCTGAAGGTTTTATCGGGGAGAACTCTGTAAACATGTCATCCAATATCCAGCAAACATTGTTTGAAATCTAGGACTTTGCCATAAGTCAGGCTGAAGTTCTTTAAAAGCTCAAGGGGCTGAAAACTAACAAAATCGCCTTTACTGTAAGTTTAAAAATCCTGATCATGTGACTACCTTAAACAATCATGATCAGAACAAGACTTTTTGAAAATAGACTCTTACACAGCACACAATAAAACACAAATGTAAATTTTGTAACCAAAAATGAAAGACAATTCTTCCACCTCTCAGTATCAAAGCAACAATACTTTTATTTTCAATTGTTTCTGAATGTTATTAATGTACATGTTTCACTTCAACAGTGGATACCTGTTTTGACAAATCTGAAAAATGGTGAGACCATCTGGGGCTTTGTTCCACAAGACACAGCACTACCGCATTCTTTTCCAATCACTATTCACATAGGCGACTACAACATGGATGGCTTCCCTGATGCACTGGCAATACTAAGAAACACTTCAGGCAGGTAAGGCTGTTTGTTAGTTTCTAAGCGACTTCACACAGGCCTTTGCAAAGAATGCAATGTTCGATGACTATTATTTATTATTTTAAGGCAAATTGGATATTTTCTCTATTTTTTTGTGCCTCTGTAAAACCGGATACCAATTTATGCCTGTGGGGAAAGAAAATCTACATTGCACGGAGCCTCGGTTAGCAAACCAATTCTATTGAAGTTCATAATTCAAGATGAGGCCATTTGATTAATTTGTTTAGTCAATTTGTGGCTTGGATGTGAATTGAATGTATTCAGGATCTATCTGAAATGTGATCATTAGTACCATAATATGTTTTGAAGAAGCACGGTGAATTTCAAAAGGAATTGCTCTGGAGATGGCTGGCATGTTTTGCAATGTGAGCTGTTTGTAATAAGTTGACCCTTTTGAGTGCCCCCTTAAAGACCTAATCAAAAGAAGCATCAGACAGGGCTGGGAGCAAGTTGGCTTCCTCTACTTTGGGGACAGTGGGAGAACAGGATTCGGGGGAAAGTACAAGGAGTCAATGGCCTCACAGAAATAAATCTTGTTCAATATAGAAGTGCAATTTTTTGTACCAGGTGTCTGTAGAAATGTAGGCCATTCAGCAGAGAAAATTGTGACGAGTCACAAGACGTCACATTCAAGAGAGCAGGGAATATAACTTTGGTGGAAGGCCATAAGATGGTCTTTCTTTTAGATGTTTAGTTTTTAGATCTCCTAATTTTGGAAGAATTTGGGAATTCTCCAAATCATGTGAGGCACTTTGAGACGTCTCAACGACAGTCAAATCAAAAGAATTATTGTTTATAGTTGCTGTTGAAATTAGCACCCATTTTGAATTTCTTTCCACTGAACGATGAAGATGTGTGCATACCAATAATAATAAATTGGTCAGTTCAAACTATGACTGTTTGTGGGACACTGCTGTGCGCAATTCGCTGCCGCATTTCACCCACAAAAAATACAATCAATTCACTTTACAGTCTATTCTGTGAAGCGCTTTGAGACATCTAGAAGAAGTGAAAAGCACTATATCAAATGCAAGGATTATTATTACCAACCAGCACTACCTCAAGTCTGCTATTATTTCATCCAGGCCTGAAGTATTTAATGACAACAACTTACACTTATATAGCACCCTCCACTCAGGGTAGTGCCTCAGAGCAGTGGCGGAGCCTGACTCCGAGCCGGTGGAGGGGAGGTGGCTGAATGCACGATCGGAGAGGAAGGTTTTCAGGCAGGACTTCAAAAAGGGGAGAAAGGGGTCAAAGCGGAGGGATTCAGGGAGAGTGGTTCCAGACTTTCAGGACGTAGTGGCTGAAAGTTCGACCTCCGGTGGTGGGGTGGAGGGTGCAAGGGACAAGCAGGAGGCCGGTGCCAGTCGAGCGGAGGTGCCGGGTGGTGGATTGGGTATTGAGGAGGTCGGAGAGGTAGGAAGGTGCCAAAAAGTGAAGGGATTTGAACACGAGTTTAAAACACATTTTATAGGTTCGCAAATCATTACAATTGTAAATGAATGGTGCATACTGTGAGACTATTGTCCAGATGCAGGTATTTTGTTCACCCACTTTACACCACTAAAATCTTGCACTCTGTCTTGAGCTGGAAAATGTACTTATACCAAAAAATACCAATTTAGCCACTTGGTGTGGAAAAGGGGAAGAACAGTATCAATTTTAGGCACCTCTGATTTTCCAGCCTAATGGATTTTTCCAGATAAGAACGAATGCATGTTCTCAATCAGAACAGTTTTGCTTAACCTTGGATCACATTTGATTGGGATTATAGCACCCACTGTTCTTAAGTAGAAATGATTGGATCAATGGGTTCAAGCACAAAGGAGTTGATGTGTTACAGGAACTTCTCTTAGATGAAAGGAATTTTTTTTAGGCTTATGATTTTTAGGTTTCTTTGAGGAGCAGTGTTTGAGAAAGTTCAGATTAAAGCAGGAAGGTCATTAGAGAATTGTGATTGGATTGTTATAGATTGGGATACCGTATCTGTACATTGTGCTCTCTCCATGTGACATTGAAAGTCAAAGAAGCCTTGAATGTTCAGCCCGAAGGATCTTTCAAGCCCCTGGGGGAAACTTTAGCGGTAAAGTATAATGTCAAGTTGGATATCCTATGGCCTAGACTATGGCAGCTTTGAGAGTACATTCTGCATGCTTTGTACGCCTTGTTTTGATAATAAACAATTATCAAGGCAATAAAAATTCTGTGCAAAGCTGCATGTGCAGAAGCGCCAGTTGTTACTAACTGCTTGCACATTGAGATGCCAACCTCACTGGCAATCTATGTTTGACAGAAATTGGTCGGAATTTTGCTGACTTAATGTGCTGGTTTGGTTCTGTGTGATGCAGGGAACATTATTATGCTGATTACTGCAAAGTTCTCTGATTCCACACATTCTGTTCTTAATAATTCATGTGTGCAAGCATTATTCACGACAACAGACTGCAAGGATGGCTTTAGGAGAACAAGGATGCATATTAAAACTGGAGCATCTATGCCAAGCTGAATTGCCATTGAGTAGGTGAAAAAGATACATTATTGAGTTTCCATCTTATTCTGTCTCTCAAAATTGTATACAATATTTGCACTTTGGTGTATTCTGTGCAATTGTGTATGCTGCAGAATCTGAATTGGAAATGTTTCCACAATTTTTCCTCCATGGCTAGGGCGTAATTACTTTTACTTAATTACCATTATGATACTTTTAAGGTGATTATGAGTGACATTTGGTTGTCTTAAGTTATTGCTGGCGCAATTTTACAAGTGGCTATGTTGATCATATTCCATTTTACTCTTCTCCAACAGCATCAAAATCTTCCCAAAGTATTTTCTATTTGATATTTGGAAAAATCTTTTTGTCAATGGATAAAATTGGGAAATCATGTGCAAACATCAATGTTTGAATAATTTTCAAATAATATTATTGAGTGCCTGCATAGTATATTGTGTGCAGTGGCTTAGCCAAACTCAAATAATGAAGTGTAGGGAAATTGTGGGTCCTTGTGGACATGATTTTAAAATTGTTTTCTCTTCTCACACACACCTTCCCCAGAGTTATTCATATGTTGTGAATGTTTCTTCTCTGACAATATATTGTCTGTTCTTGGATCAAAAAGAGATGATTTGAATAATTAGAATTTAGTGGCATACTAGATGAATCTGTCTTTCAAAAGCAAACCCTTATTTCTAAATTGCTTTTTCAATTTTCTTCATTAATCTTCCTAGAAAGTGAACAAGTTTTTTTCTTATTTTTTAAAAAAAGGCACGGTTCTTATTTATTGATTTTAGTTTACTTATCAATTCCAGTTTATTTATCAATATCCCAGTTTATAACCTCAATCCTAGCCAATTTTCCTTTTTACCTGTAGAGAAGAGTCTTGGCTCCTATTTGTATCTCGCTCTGATGGATGACTAGAGGTCAGATCTAACACTGGAAGAAATTAAACCCATGAACACATGTTACTGAAATAACGTGAAGTTTTTATTGGCACATAAGAAATCTCAAACATTATGCATACCATACTCATTTTCAAAAAGAATGTAGATTGTTTCTACAGATAAGAGTCTAGGCTGACACTCAAATTCAGTACTGAGTGAATGCTCACAGCAATGTCCCACAAATAGCCATAAAGTTGAAGACCAATTGCAGCACTTCTGAGTTGCTGTCCTTCGGATAAGATACTAAATCCTGTTCTGGTGGATATTAAAGATCCCAAAGTCATTGAAGTCATTTACTTCATTGCTGTTTATGGGACATTACTATGTGCAAATTGAAATTCTGAGGAATGCTTAGAGACAATTTGATGATGTGATGAGATGCTATTTCAAATCAAGGATTATCTTGTCAAGAACTACTATAACTACAGCTACTTCTGCCACTAATCACAGATGCTTCCTTGACAGAATAGGAAGCAAATCAGGGAAACAGACTGTCGCAAAGACTTTTCTGCTCAGGAAATCCAGATTGGCGCTGAGAACAGTTTGGCGGTCTCTCAAGAACTTCTATTGCCTGGAGCAAAGGCAGACCATTCTCCCAGGAATAGTAGGGCCTCTGGTAAAGGGAATCAGCAAACGGACTGGGGTCGGGGGAGGGAGACGGCTATATTCACGTCCTTGGTAAAGGTACAAAAAGTTCACTTTGCACTTTCAATAGCCTGATTTTGAAGAGGGATTGCCACCTCATTTGACCTTATGGAAATTGGGTCATCCTTGAGTAGACTTCTTTTGAAAAGAAGATTGTGACAAACTACTTCACTAGTTGTCCATTATTAATTCCTCGCATATCAAGAGTGAGATGCTTGGGGATTACTACAGGAGGTGGCAGAGATGATTGTGGTTCTTAAAAAAAAAGAAGCTGCTTCTCTGGTTAGACATGCTGGGAAAATGGAACAAATGATCCTAACTAGCATCAAAATCAAGTGAATCCATCATTATGTGTGGAATTCTCAAAGCACTTTCATATGCCCAGAGCTCGCTTGGATGAAAGATCATGAGAGATGTGTGTTTGAAGAATGAATAATGTCTTTTGGCCCATTCATAACATCCTTCCAGAATACCATTCCTACCATCTCTGCATTTTAAATGGTTTCCTGAAATCAATGTAGTTTTCTGGTATCGGCCACTTTACCTGGTAACCCATTCCAACTGTTTTACTTTTGCATAAAGTGACACTTACTATTTGCTGAGCTAAACTTGCTCTTCCTAACCCTGAAATTACCCAAATATGAGCGCTATTTGGTGGCCGCTTTTATAAAATAGGAACATGAGGAGGACATTCAGCCCATCAAGCTTATTCGACCTATGTTTACTTCCATTCCATTTATTCCTATTAATATCCTTACATTCCAAGAAACTTTCTAACTGCTCTTTTAACTGTCCTAATTGAGTCTTCCTCTACAGCCTTCTGGGGCAATGCATTCCACAGTCTCACAAGCATCCCCGTGAAGGAATGTTTAGCTCTAATTTTAAGCTTTAAGCATGGAAACCCAGTTATGCGATTGTTTTGGTCTATAAACTTGTCCTACATTGAAAGGAGCTGCACAAAAAAATGGGCCAACGATCAGATTTTTTTGACTGACTTCACTGCGTGTACATTGCATGCTATGCACGGGAAGTGATGTTGATAACCTCTGGTGTTTCCTACACAGTTATGTACAACACACAGAAACCCCGTCAGTCACCAGAAGCCAGAATGTACCACGCTTCCGGTATAGCACAGGTTCACAGTAAACCCTGGTTAGAGCACTCGTATGCAAGCGAGACATCTGGGTTCAATTCCAGGCAGGGCGAAACCTTGGGCAAGTTTCCTTACTCCACACGCCTAATAATAATCCCTCCAAAACAATAATAAATTGGTCATTTTCAATCCACGACTGTTTGTGGGACACTGCTATGCGCAATTGGCTGCTGCGTTTTGCCCACAAATATACGGTCAATTCACTTTACAGCATATTCTGTGAAGCGCTTTGAGACGTCTAGAAGACGTGAAAAGCGCTATATCAAATGCAAGGAAGTGCTCTGTAAAGCAGTGTATGAAAAAAACTTGTTTCTAACCATAGTGTCTACGGCATCTTTGTTGAGTATTTTCAAAAATTATTAAATTGTTCTCCACTTGAACACGAGTCACTGCTCTCTAATAATAATACAGCTACTTTGAAACAATTCTTGAGCGCCACAGCTAGCTCCTGACAAAAATATTGAATTAGACCATTAAAATATAAGTTGTGCCTGAAAATAAATTAATTGTTTGATAACATAGAATATATTGCTTCTAGATGTGCAGGATGTTCCACTTATAAATACATAGGGTTCAATATTGAAGTGGCAGTGAATAAAACTTTAAATATATTATCTCTTACATATATTCCCCCCCAACCCACACACACACTTCTTTGCAAGTCCTCTGTTAAAAAAGACTGAAATTGGTTAACCCAGAGCAGACCAAGATTCATAGCTTGAACCTTTCCGATCTGTAAAGCACAGAACTACACCACATAAAGTAGTATATTTACCACTGAGGGATTGGGAGGCAATTATTTTGCTTCTGCTGTTTTTAAAAGTAGGCCAACAAATTGGATGTAATGATTATGCGGATTACAAATGTGGGTTAATTCATACAAAATTTTTATGATTATCTTATAAAGCAATACATTAGAATTAATGGGCGGTAATGGGTTTACACACTATTTCAATATGTAGAACTAATACTAAATAGTCATTAGGTAAAATGTTACCTTCATTTGATGCCGAAGATAACACAGATGTAGTGGGATTGTTTTCACATCTGCAGTGATCAGCCAAAAGTGAGAAGCAGTTATTGAATACCTCTGAGACAATTGAGTTAAAAAATGGAAGTCACATTTTGCATTAATCAGGGTTTCTGATTACTAACCAGTAACAAAGTGCATGTGTGAATGTCAAATGCCGGGTGAGAACCAGATCAGGCACATCTGTCTTACATGTGAAGAAAAAGAATAGCAACTTGGGCAATTGATAATGACCATCAGCTGTGGAATCCTGTGTGTGTGTGTGTGTGTGTGTGTGTATGTGTGTGTCTACGTGTGTACACGCGCATGTGTGTGCGTGTGGGGGGTGGGTAGGAAAAGAAGAAAATTGGAGGGGAATCTCTCCACTAAATTCATGATTTTGAGATTTTGCTGGCAATACTCAGTATTCAAAGCAACTTACTAATTTCCCACATGGATATCCAAAGTCTTGTGAAGAGTTAACAACAGCGTTCGTAATTATAGCGTTAAAACTTTAATTATTAGTCTTACTCAGTGACATTATTTATTAAGTTCCTAGCAGTTGCCACGGTTCAAAATTGAAAAAGCCAGATGGTGTGTGATTATAGTTGGTCTTTCGAAAATGCTTTTAAAAGCAATTAAAAGGTCAGGACCCTTACCAATAATCTGTTCCTCTGTGATGAGATATGTTCACGCAGTTTCAACAACAACAAATTACACTTATATAGTGCCTTTCACCTTGGGAGGACGTCCCGAGGTGCTGGACAATGAGGGGTTTGCACCCGAGCTCCGGATTGGGATCTGAGACGGGTGGAGGAGGGAAGATGATCAAAGGCACAGTCAAAATGGAAGGTCTTGAGCCGGGCTTTGAAGGAGGCAGCGGAGGGGGTGAGGCGGAGGGGCTCCAGGATGGAGTTCCAGAGGGTCGGAAAGACTTATGGCAGGACCGTCAATCGTGAAGCAGGGAGGGAGATAACGTGGACTGGGCTAGTTTCTTCACATGCCATGTCCTCCCCTCAAGCACATTTGGCTGCAGAGCAGAGGGTGCCTCATCATGCTGCAAAGTGATGGCACCTCACAAGGTTAATCAAACGGTCAGTGGTGCACTAACATCAAGTTAGATTTTCAGGAAATTACAGATTTCTCTGACACTTCTGTTAGATAAATGGTTTATCTGAAAGTAAGATTTAAGTAATCTGTTAATCCTTTACTAGGAACACATCTGCACTGTGAAAGCTTCTGTGATTAGGAACAGATGGGTTGTCATCAGTTTGAAGTAGAGCAGAAGGTTATGAACTTGGCTACACTTATTTACTGGGCTATTTTTAAAAAGAAAATTCACAATAAAACATGTGATTGACAGCTAACCTGCAGATGTATTGAAAATGGTCTAAAAAGATACAAGTCTGATTATGACGTGTATCTTCTCACCCAGTATTCTTTGCAGCTATGAGCATTTTTAAAGTGGGGAACAAATTATTTATTTGCCTATCAAAAATAACGCTGGGACTGTATGTATGTAGGAAAACTGCAAATGCATCTTTGTTTTATGTTTGAATTATTCTAAGTTTCTTCACATGTTATGCCCTCCCCTCAAGCACATTTCAGTATGATTTATGTAATCTTTGACTGTCTACTATTGATGCCTGGAAGCCTTGTTTGAAAAAACAAATTTTATTAAGTTATTTCTCCCCATTTTCACAGTAATAAGCAAGCCTTTCTACTGGAAAATGTGCCATGCAATAACGCAAGCTGCAAGAGTGTGGGTCGAATGTTCAGGGTGCTTTGGGAGTTGTCAGATTTGAACAAAATCAAGAATGCTGTTGTTGCAACCTTTTTTGACATTTATGAAGACGTGAGTCCACATTATTCTTTTAATTATGTTTTATTCAATGTTGATTTGAATTTTGTGTCCAACTTTTCATAGTAGTTTGTATCGGGCACCATTGGAGTTGATAAAGAATTGAGGGAAATGTTTTAATATTAATGGTGCAAATATTGGGCATTTGCAAGAGGACTGACTTATGCTCTATATTCTTAAATGCATTTAAATTAAGAAAAAAAACATGAAATATTTAGTTAAAATTAGTGATGTTGGCAACTAAATGAAGACCACCTGCACTGATGCACATAAGTATTAGGTAATTTCTACTTTATTAAAGAAATTATAGTGCTGTTGGATTCTGAATTTATATCGAAGTTTCAACTCAGATTTCCTTTTGGGGGAGTAAATTTACCCACTTTATCTTGGTAATCTAGAAGGAGAGAAAGACAGTTAAAGTGTGCTATCTGGTAATAACCACCCTGGACCATAGAAATTGTGTGAAATTGTGGCCTCGATATTTTACCCTTTCGTCTGAGGAAGATGAGTTTTATGAGATCGGCTAACATGGATGGAGATAAACGAAAAAAATCTTCAAAAAGCTTAATTTAGTAAAGAGGTAGAAACATTAAAAAAAAACATTATTAATGAGCCTGTAATAACTCTACAAATTGGAGAGTCTGTAACTGAGATTAATAACCATTGTAATAATTTTCCTCATTTTACAGGTGATCTTATTCTAACTAAATAAGGAAATCACTTGAGCATCAACTTTTGAGGAAGCTTAAACATCTAAGGCCCAATGTTCCTCATGAATTCAGACTTATTGAAATGAATGCTTCACAAAATACGTTATCACTTATAATGCAAAGCATAGATACAGTAAGCAAATGAAAATTGTGTACAGGTCAATGAAAACTCAACACATTCTAGGAAGATTTTCAGAAATTACATTCAAGTACAATTATGGTATATTTCACGTGAACGATAAATCAAATGCATCTATCGTCTTTGTCAACAGAATTTTGAACAATGTAATGTCTTCCTTTAATCGAATGTGAAAAGGCCATGTTGGGTTGGGTTATATTGCATTCTTAATATGATCGTAGAAACTATCAGTATCATCCTTGAAAAAATGTGTTTCTAAGGCAAATCTGGAACTTACTAATACTTGTCATTTTTACTTGTTTCCTCTTATTACAGGGTATCTTGGATTTACTTGTTGTGAGTGAAGATACCAACGCTGAGTTCAGCATCCATGCGTTGCGAAATAACTTTGATGCTGATGCTTACTTTGTTAAAGTCATTGGTAAGTATGTGTCCAAATGGATGAATTGTCTTTTGTTTTAAAGTTAAGATTTTTTCACCAAGTTCAAGCAGAATGGTTTCATGAAGTTATTAGTTCACTTTGTAACGCTAAGTAGGAAAAAAAGACACCATCTCAGTTGTTGTAGGGTTCAGAAACCTGGTTAATTTTTCCGTCTCTTACCGAGGGAATGTCAAGACCAATTTAGCCTCCCCATATAGTCCCAACTGTGACCAATAATCTGAGCAAAGACTGGGTTTCGAACCAGTGAGCTCATCGAATGAAAATGCAGCACTATTTACTGGACCGTGGAGCTACACATTAATTTTCATTAGTAGTAAAGCGAATATGAGAATTCAGTTCCATAATATCATATTTATCCTGCCCCTTCCAGGATTGGACATGACAGAAGTTAACAACCCAATTTCCATAATCAATAACCTAACCTCCGCTCATCACTTCCTTCGTGCTCTTTTGAAATCAGGAACTCACTATTTGTGGAAGCCATGACAGATATTGAAATTAAAATTACTATGTGGATTTCTCTGGGAAATTGTACCTTTTTAAAGTCTTATGGAAATTTGCCAAATCCACGCCATTGCTATATATATATATATAATGCTAATATTAGCATGTATGTCGGTTATGAAAGTACTCTGCTCCAGACTGTAGAGTTTCTTAAGAAAGGGAGTGATTAGTGATCGGGTTATTAAGGTGTTTCTTTTAATCATGATGTACTACATGCTTGACTGTACATGATTTAAACTAGGGCTGATGGATAATTTCAGATTGGGAACAGGTGTTCCCAATGCTATGCTAGTATTTAAGAGACTGTGAAGAAACAAAATGAGGTATTAATTGGAGGCTTCACAATATAGGAAGCTCTGACTTCTTTTCCTGGTCTAGAGACGATTTTATATGCATCATTCTGTAAGTTAGTACACCGTGACACGTTCGAGTATTGACTTTCTGCCTGGCTTGGCTGGTGGATGGCAGACTAAGAAAATGGGATTCCATGTTGATAAATTCAACATTTGAAACATTCAGAATTCATTCCAGATGAGGAGGTGATCATTTTAATGATGTATTAAAGCCCAGGTGCACAAATGGTAATAAAATTAATATAAATTAATTTCTAGCAAAATACAGATTTTAGTATCTACTCAGTGTGCATGCACCGTTTTTGTTTTAAATATACATTATTTCCCAACTTTAGAGAACCCACAACACTATTTAAGACAAGAGTTTCTCCCAACATTCTGGCCAACCATTTTCCAAATAAATTGGTCATTTGCCTCCTGGTTACTAAGGGACATTGTTGTGAGCAAATTAGCTGCTACATTTCCCCTACAATTACACAATCACTTTAATTAATAGTAATTAGTGTAAAGCTCTTTGAGATGTTTCAATGTTATAGGTGCTACTTCAAATGCACATCTCCACTGGAGGCTGACCTACCTATGCTGGAAGCCAGAAGTGACTTCAAAATTGACTTGACAACTAGAAAGTAGAACCAGAAGGCTGTTTCCCCCCCACCCCACCCACCCAAGGACACAGTGGCTAATTTTATGGACATGAAACGCTACGTTGTGACATGATCTCCTTCTATTGTGTGTTTTGTTTGTTTGTAAACGATGCAAAGACCTCTATTTTATCATTGTATTTTTCTGGCCAGTGCTGCTTATATTTTCACTTTGGACGAGGAAATGTTAAGGAGGCTTGATGTGCTGCTTCAGCAATCAGCACTAAACAGATTTAATCAGCAGGTGTTCATGTGCTCATCAGAATTAATTGCATGGGAATCGTAGCTGCTTGTGATTACATGGAAAAGGTTGTTCTTTTTCTCAATATAATCATAAGTGGCAATGATAAGAAAGCTGTCATTGCTTAAGGAAGAATGATTCAACTTTGTTCATCCTTGCTGCAGGATTTTAGCAATACCTGTAGTTAAGATTTTTGAATGACCTCTTTTTTATTGGCCAGCAAATGTGAAATTATAAGGTATTGTTAAGTGCACATTTCCCCCTACATTATCCTGTTGCAATAAATGCTTCATTGCCAGCACTCCTTTTAGAAGTTCAGAATTTAACAATATCTATGAGTTCATATACACAGCGGTAATGGCAGAGATCACTAAAGCACCCACCCTCAGTTAATAGCTATCTGCTGATGTTGTTGAAGCTCCTTTTCGAATGATGTGGTCATTACTCAGTCAGCAACTTTCTTGATTATCAACACTCGCATCAAAAATGTTAGAAGCATAGAAATGGCATCATGAAACACATCCGTATTCCTATTAGTTGACAGTTTGAAATCTATACAAAATATAATGCTGATTTATCATATCGCACCCATAACTGTTTACCTTTTACAAAGAGGAATGCTGTTTGGCTCCTCGCTTTAAATGAAGCTGCATTGATATTTACGCTGATTTTTTTGATGCAGTTTTGTGCTGGTCAAGGTGCAGGCTGTATTTTCTGAGAAAGATGCACTTTGTTTTAACTTCGGGTATCCATTTTCAGAAACCAAGACTTCTAAGTCAAGAAAAACAATGACCAGATCAGCATAAAGCTCTTGATTCTGTCCTAATAATTTATTTGAACAACAATCCTAGAAGAGGAAAAAGTGTCCGAAAATGATTCCCACACAAACCATGCTTCAGGTTTGTCAGTACGTGGGCAATCGTGTCCTGTGATCTAGTGCCCAATTGGGTCTTGGTTGCAACTTTAATCTCATCAGTCTGGGCTGGAATCAGTCTATAGTATCAAAGGTGAAGAGACTGTATTAACCCCTGCATTACCCAAACTCCATCTGTTTTTTCTACCAAAATTATTTGTAGCTTTTTTTGGAAAAAAATGCTTTTAACACTTTTTTTTAAAAAGATAGCATTTTGCAATATTTATGAGAACAAATCCACAGTTGATCAGGATTGTTCTTCAAGTAAATTGTTAGGACGGAGTCGAGAGCAAAATCTGAATACCTAGAGTACCCTTAGGTTTAATCATTTAGGTTTATCTCTTGTTAAATATAGAAAATCACACACAAAACACACCCAGGTCACTGCACGCCACAGTGTACCTCGTGCAGCACTTTGGGATGTCCTCCCAACATGAAAGGTACAATAGCAAATTTAAGGATTATTTTATTAAAATAAGCTACCTATAAATGTTCGCAACTGACCAAAGTCAGTTTTTCTAGAAGCACCTTAAATGTTTATGCCACATGTAATAATAATAATAATAATCCTTGCATTTGATATAGCGCTTTTCACGTCGGGAGGACGTCCCAAAGCGCTTCACAGAACACACTGTAAAGTGAATTGACTGTATATTTGTGGGCGAACGCGGCAGCCAATTGCGCACAGCAATGTCCCACAAACAGTCGTAGATTGAAAATGACCAATTTATTACTGTTTTGTCTTGAGAGATTATTATTAGGTGTGTGGAGTAAGGAAATTTGCCCAAGGTTTCGCCCTGCCTGGAATTGAACTCAGGTCTCTGTAGTTTTTATTCATCAGAGGAGAATAATTGAAGTTGGTAAGGGCATTTATATTAGGTTACCAAAGTTTATTCTCCACTTATTAATGACAGGCAAGTAGAAAGGAAAAGGACCATAAATTAGATGGATTGAGCATCTGTACATTTTGATGCTGTTAAAATTCTCCACGAAGCTCACATGTTCCATGTGATAACAGTGTTACAGAGGTTATATCCAGTCACCAGTAGATTTTCCACACAATTACAGTAGGCCTCGGCAGTGGTTTTGCTGACTAGACACAGTTTAATTAGGCACTTTTGAATTTGAGCTTAATGATGAATTTCTTCACCAAATTAAAATTGGTGTTGCTTTTTCTGTATGATTCTGCAATTACTTAATGATATTGTGCATGAGATATTTCACATATTTCCCATAATGGGAACTTGGTAGTATTTTTAAAGATGAACCGATTAGTAATTAATAATAATAATCCTTGCATTTGATACAGTGCCTTATTATGTCTTCAAGACGTCTCAAAGCGCTTCAAAGACTATACTGTAAAGTGAATTGACTGTATATTTTGTGGGTGGTATGCGGCACAGCAGTGTCCCACAAACAGTCATGGATTCAGTGACCAATTTATAAGTATTATTATTTTTGAAGGAATTATTACCTCCAGAAAAGCGATCCATCAATCGATTAACAACCGGGTTCCTATTTAATACTGGGTAAACAGAGGTGTGTGGAGTAAGGAAACTTGCCCAACTTTTCGCCCTGCCGATGAAGATATATAACTCAAAAGTGTTCTATATCTTCAATCCTTTAGTGCAACCAAAATATTACATTGATAATTGATGTTTTAAACAAGCCAAAATTTCTTCCGAATAGTTCCATTATACTTGTTTTCAGTCTTGAAAGCTCCTTATGACAAATTATGTCTTCTATCAGTCAACACATTTGGATGAGTTACGTATGGGATGTGAGAAATGCATTCATAGATATTTTTGCGAGACGCATATACCTACAAGCTTTGCAAATTGTTGTTGTTTCTTTCTTGAAAATTTGGTTCCAGTCTGGTGAGCATTCTGTTGATGCAGCACATACTGATGGAAATTGATCCATTTTCAAACTGTTCCCTGATGCTACTCTTCCTGTTTCAGGTTTAACTTCTTTTAAAACCCAAATTCTAAATGCCTACAGTTTATAACTGCTAATAAATCTCTTAGTCTGACCTACATTTCTGTACAATTAAAGGAAATGAATGAATGGTTTTGAGAAATGAACAAGGAGATTTGTATTGTGCTTGTCTGATGTGATCTTAGAAGTTAAATGCCATTTTGCTTCCTGCCTTGGGTGATTTGATTTGCCGTTGTCTCTTTGTAGATAATAAAAGCTGTGTTTACAGTTTTCAGGATATATTGATGAAAGCCTCCATGTGGTTCAGCTTTTATGAATTAAAGATATAAGCCTATTTTCAATGGTAACATTGTAGAATTGAATGCATCCCTTTGGGCATAGTCAGTGGTGAGTGCTGCACCAACCATTTTTGTATGGATAATCTATATTCAGAAGCATACATTGCAGTTCTTTTTTCATCCACTCTCCCCCATTACTGTACCTTGACATTCTTAAGTGACCCAATATTGTTTTTTTTCAAGTGGATGGGCAAGTGGGAAGTTGACAGGTGTGTAGATGTGGATGGTGGGGAGTGGAGGGTAATAAATCAAGATTTGATGTCCAGATGATTTGTCAGTTTTGTTGCACCACTTACTTGCAGGTGTTCAGAATTCTGGCACTGACAATGATATAATTGATTCTTTTTAACTTACGGAATACAGTTTCTCTGTTGGATCTTGCACTGGCAGATCAATTCCTGATCTATTATCATAACCTGCACTAAAACTGCTTTCATGTCATTAGAAGTGGTTGGATTTCTATCTCCTACTCTGCATAGGGATTTAAAATAGAACATCCATTTGTAACTGTTAAACAGAGTTATGTTTTTTGTTTTGATGTTGATTCGACCTGACTGAATCAGGTATCAGCCCGACTTAATGGTAGCACTCTCGCCTCTTGAGTTGGAAGGTTGTGGGTTCAAAGCCCCACATCGGGCCCTGGAATCACATAGTTGAAGCTGACACCAATGCAGTATTGAGGAGTATTGCATTGTCGGAGGTGCCATCCTTTGGATGAGACATTAGGTGGATGCTTGTTTAGGTGGATGTTAATGATCCCTTGACACTATTCAAAACGAGAAGGGAGTTTCTCCCAGTGTTCTAGCCAACAATCCCCCAGCAAACACTGCAGACCTGATGCCTTCAGGTACAGCACAATTTCCCCCCCAAAAAAAAATCAGACTCCACAGCTGTTCTGGATTTTACATATTTTATACCGCTCAATTGAGCCTTTAGTAGTGTGAACTACTCATTATTGCCAATGCAATTGAGTGGTATAAATTATTCAAAAGTCTACAAATACAGCTGGAAAGTGTAATATTCTTAAGGGAAAACGTTGCTTTATCTGAAAGTATTGAACCCACAAGATTTCCAACACCAGAGACCCTGCCACTGATGGAATCAATAATTTCATATTTCTCCATCCGTTGCCCCCTTTCTTCCAATCTTCCCCGCAAATATTTACTGAAATCGTTGATGGTTAATTACCATTAGCACTAATGAAAGTGCATTGCTCCCAAGATACATTCACAAATACTAAACACTCGTGCAATGTTTGCAGCTATTTTAATGATCAGAAGAGTGTTGAGTCTCATCCACAGTAAAATATTAATTTTCTCATTGGTGTATGCAACCTAGGAACTAGAAAATAGTTAAGATAAGGGTGTTTATATATTTAATGCTTCAGTCGATCAGTTTTGTTTTAATTTGCATATTGAATATTGTTAATTAATATCCTGAAATATGAAGCAGCCAAGTTAACATTTGCCTTCTGATCATCACCGAGTAATAGTCTTAGATATGCTAAAATATATTCTCACAAATTATTTCTGTAAAAAAATATATATTTTCATCCTTAAGAACAGATTTATTATCCTATAAACATTCTTTAAAAAAAATCAGCAAATTGTAGTGTTCCTGGGCTCCAACTAACTGGCTGTATTAGCAATTTGTTCCACACAATGGTTCCAGTGCTTTGCAGCTTTTAGGTTCGAATTGCTGCTGTGCTCCATGATCTGTAACATCCGCCTGAAACTGAACAATCTTGAAAAATTGCTGATCAAATCTGTTTTAGTGCTAATGATTTTTTTTTGTAATGTTTCACCGCAGCTGGTACTGTTAGCTCAATTCCCCCACCTGCTCTACATAGTTCTATAATCATTCAAGATGTTTTTTTTATCTGAAAACTAAATTCAATTTATGTGTGGGTTTCATTTTTATGTATAAAAGTAGGGTACAAATCCTGCATTTTATCATTTAAAAATTGCACTTTTCATCCCATTATTCTCAAGACATTTTTAAAAAGCTTTTCTATGCATTACTGCAGGAGGCATAATAATCTACTTTAAAGCCAACAATGGTCAGCATTGAGGATATAAAACACAAATTGCTTTTGAGGTTTCATCTGCTATGGTACATTGGTCGCGGGGGATTTCATTTCAGATAATAGTAATTTATTGTCGGCCATATAAATTTTAGCAAGTAATATATTGGTGAGAAAAGCTGTTGTTGCAAGCTTATGGTGAAAATGTCACCTAAACTAACGCCATGTAAGATATTTTTTCCTTTAGGCAATAATCAGTCAGTTTATTCTTTGTAATAGAATAAATTTTATGATGTTGAAAATCTATTTATACACATTGAAATAACTGATTTATTATAATAACTGAACATTTTTCTATTTATGTAGTCATTTGCCTTGAAAATGAAACTTAAAAGTTTCTATTTCTTTTCCCTTACCCCCACCCACAGTGCTCAGTGGATTGTGTTCCAGTGATTGTCCATACAAGATTACTGTAAGTAATGAACGTCTGCATCAGGTACTGCTTATTTAAGTTGCAGACTTTTAAGTGTTGGCTGAAAGGTGTCATCTTCAACTCGGCTCAATTTAAGGCTCAACTTAAGTGCTTTGTATTCCAATGAAATAGTGTATCAAAAATATGTTGCACATCTTGCTGTAAAATAATGATTATCAATACAAGAGTCATATAAATCAACCGAAAAGTATTTGAGAATGTGAATGCAGCCGTGTGTTCAAAAGTATGTCAATCAGCTGCTATAAGACATAACCCTGAGAGAGACGGAAGCGAGCCAAATATGGCTTAACAAATCAGTACAGAAGTTTCAATTTTTTTAGTGCAATAATGTTGCTCATATTCAAGTGGTACGTTCTGGAGAACAAATTATTTTTGTGTGTTATTTTCCACAATAACTTCCATTTGTTCAAACTGTCTTTGTATGAAACAGCTGTGTATTGGAAGGGGGAATCATTGGAATTGTACTTCTTTTAAAGAAGCAATTTAAATACTGTAGTTCCCAAATACTTCTGTCGGTGTGCATCAAATTGTGAGAGTATTGTCCATAGAGGACGAGCTTCTTTCTTTTGAAATTGATTTGGACAGTTGAGGAAAGTGTTCGATGAAAGTTGCCCAACCACTTTTCTGCTATAGAGATTGCCAGTTCATTTAAGAGGACTCATTTCCTGAACTACTTAATGCCATTTCACTTGCACTTGAGCAAACGTTGGCAATTTTGGGTGGAAAGATATCAGATTAATATGAATCCTCAAAAAAGCTTAGTCTTAATTATCATCCTTGATAATCTTAGTGCTCTAAAAGCCTTTTAATGGTGGAATGTTATAGCCTTTCTGGAAAACTCAAAGGGAAAACTATTAGACATTGACTGAGAGAGCTGGGAAAACTCAACAGGTCAGGCAGCATCTATGAAGAAAGGAAAGTAAGTCAACGTTTCGAGTCAGGACTGACGAAGGGTCGTGGACCCGAAATGTTGACTCACTTTCCTTTCTCCATAGATGCTGCCTGACCTGCTGAGTTTTTTCAGCTCTCTCTGTTTTTGTTTCAGATTCCAGCATCTGCAGTATTTTGTGTGTTTTAGACATTGACTGTTAGACATAGATAATTTATGATATAAAACCCCAGAGGTGGTGCAGCTGCACCTCAAAATTCTGTGTCGAACCAGACTAGCTTGAGGGAATGCCAGTAACATTGATTCACATACATTCTCCTACCTACAGAATTCTCTCCCCGATAATAACTGAACTCTGTTCCTTGTTTAGATGCTGACTTAACAATCTGGTTTGAAACCTGATTTGTACCTATTGCTGAATCTCTTTCAAATAGATTTTTCCTCTAGTTCTTAAAATACAGAAATGTAAATGGGTAGAATTGAGTGAGTTATTTAGCAGGATCTCAGAACTAAGTGTAGCTTACACAACATATGGTTTAATAATTTATTCCATACCATATGTGTTAACATCTATTGTGCCTTTATTTTTGCTTCTAGCCACTTCATCCTAACACAACATGCAATAAAACTGACTATATTTCCTTCTCTAGGAATTGTTTTGTTTTTAAATTCAGGTCTGTCACGCTTTTGATCTGTTAATTGACTCCACTGACAGCTAAAGTCCATTGGGTTAGAAATTTTTGCTCTCATTCATCTTTAGAACCTTGGCTGAAATTGATGGACTGTCCAACTTTTTCAGAGTTTTTATGAAGTCGATTTGTGTTAGCAGCCAATAGGGATTTAAAAGTGTAGTTGATACCAGTAACAGCATTCACATTTTGACAGATGGATATTTTATTCATTCATTTTCAGCACTTTAACGGCTTTAGCATATATCTGGGACAGAAATTAGCAGCGGAACAGTTTTTATGTTTAACTGAAATTGCTGTCTGTGCAGGAAGTGTTCTTATTCAGCTTGATGTGTGTTATGCAATACATAATCCAGAATTAAGGATGCCTTAGGGTATACTCCATTTTTATAGGATTGTACATTTGTAAGTTTATAGTATCCTAATTAATTGCCAATGCATTAATTCAGAGTAATAGAACAAATGCATTAAGTATGCCGACAGATAGATATATTGAACGATCTCCGCAAAGCTGTTTACAGTCAGAGTTGACTCGTTTGATTTAGAGAATACTTGACAACAAAATGTCTAATATAAAATTATTTGTATGAATGAGGGGAACTGAATAATTCATGAATGCCAGTAGAACATGAGTGATATAGTCACCCTAACATGTGGTCCAGTTCCTCCAAGTCCACACCTAGCCAAACCTTGGCAAAGCATATCGCAGCATACCTGTGAGAATGAATGCTAAGAAGATATTGTTTATTTTGTGATGTCAGGTGGGGAAGAGGGGAGGAACGGATGACATTGCACCTGGAATTGCACAAGGAATGGGGAGAGAACCAGTTTAGTCACATACAGTAGCAAGGGTGTGCAAATCTACTTCATGGACTATGAAGATACATGGAATCCTGCCAAACAGTGGCGCAATCCAAATCCTTAGTTACTGAGTATTGCTATAATAAGGATTTTAATAATGGCTTCATCTTAATAGAAGCTTGGGATAAATTAACTGTGGTAAATTAGTATGCAGCATGCAGCCATGGGTTGTGCATATTTCCTAAATTGGCTTGGATTGAATCGAGTCTCTTTGGTTTCAGAATTGCATTTGATCCATTTGTTTTTATTGATTCCTGTAAAATTATTTGGCAATCTTGTTCAGGTCCATCTGTACACATTTATTTTTCTGCCTTTGCAGACCATTTGCCCGCCACGCATTCTTTTTCTGATGGGATGGAATAGTCACCATCACTATCACTGTCTTTGGCATGACATCGTCCACTTCATAACTGGCTGGAAAGATATGCGAGTCAGGCTGTCTAAACTAGACCGAGTCAATTTCCAAATGCTGCTCCCAGTGGAATTTGCTGTTTCCACATAAAACCTCATTAGCTAGAGTAGCTGAGAGCTAACTAAATGTAGTCAAGTGAGACAAATGAGAATGAATAGCGAGTAGATCTGTGAGTTATATCTCTGAGCTGTTCAGAATTACAAGTTTGAATAGTGCAGTTAACAGGTTGGGACGGCCTTCTGACTTGAAAGGTGCTACACAAATTTAATTTGTTGTTGTTGACACCAAATCACTTCATTTTGTCATCTGAATGAGTGTTCAGATCATGGCCTGTGGTTTGCCAGGATTGAGTACAAAGATTTAGACTAGCACATTATGATTAAACCATCCTGTGTGTATCACTAAATGATATGTTGAAATAATAACCTATTGAATTTTTTTGCATTCTGGAGATTGGTTATTTACTGTGATATTTCTCGGTCATTTTGGGTAAATGCTATTCGCCTTTAGTGACCAGGGATATCAGCTGCATCGTTTAACGTCACTTTTGCCCACAAATATACGGTAAATTTACTTTACAGTCTATTCTGTGAAGCGCTTTGAGACGTCGAGAAGACATGAAAAGCGCTATATCAAATGCAAGGATTGTGGAGTCCTGTAGCTTAGTGGTTAGAGCACTCGCTTTGCAAGTGAGAGACCTGAGTTCAATTCCAGGCAGAGGGCGAAACCTTGGGCAAGTTTCCTTACTCCACACAGAGCCTAATAATAATCCCTCCAAAAACCAAAAACAATAATTAAATTGGTCATTTTCAATCTACGACTGTTTGTGGGACATTGCTGTGCGCAATTGGCTGCCGCGTTCGCCCACAAATATACAGTCAATTCACTTTACAGTGTGTTCTGTGAAGCGCTTTGGGACGTCCTCCCGGCGTGAAAAGCATTATATCAAATGCAAGGATTATTATTATTATTATTTTCTGCAGGAATAAAATGTGTGAGTGGTATGAATTAATTTTGTGAAGATAAACATTCTGAGAAGTGTGTCTGCATCTTTGGTTTTTCACATGTTGTGCTACAAATGTTATTACTTAAATATTTAGAGTATCTAACTACTCTCCCTTTCCCACCAAAAATGCGATTGAACTTTCCATGATCCATTTGACTTATCGAAACTCCGCTAGATTCTAAATAAACATCAGGGGAGTCGTTTTAGTGCTTCAAGAGAAAGTGAGAAGCTAAAGAGACTAATACTTGAGAAATGTATCATTAACCAGTCACAGTTACAAATGTAGTCATTGCTACTTGCTGTGGGGCAGGTTGTGGTAAGTTGGATCATGCTGTCTTTACCCCTGTAATGTAGTGTTTTGAGAAAATTGGGCACAGAATAGATCTCCGCAGAATAAATCTGTTGTGGACTTGATTGCTGGCCATTGCCACCAGGCTATTCCTGCTGTTCCAACAATATGTCATGCAATACAACTTTACCAATGTTATTCTTCATGAGAAAGTCAGATAAAGAAAACTTTTCTAAGCCCAATTCAATAGTAATTTCTGGATTTTTAAAAAAAATATCAAGTCCCAGCGCCATCGGATGTCCTCCTGACATGAAAGGCGCTATACAATGTAATTTGGTATTGTATTACCAAATCCAAAATGTCTGCCTTACACAGAAAGCATATATTATTTTTAATAAGAGGTTTCTTTTAAAGTCAGTAAATTGCTGAAGGGTAAACATCTGGCAGTTATATATGTGAGATATATGTATAATTTAGTCTGATTTATCTTTTTTCTGCAGCCATTTGGTGTGAACCAGCCTGGGCCCTATATCATGTACACGACAGCAGATTCTAATGGATATCTGAAAAATGCATCAGGTGGGTGATAGCTGAGGTGCTTATCACTTGTGCTATAAGGACCATTTGGAGTTAACATTTGTTGTACAATATGGAGCCAGAACACTGTAGTAATTGGAACTAACACTATTGTGCATACGAAAATAGTGTGAATATTTGGTGTGTGCTTCTCTCATTCTCTAATCTGTATATATCTAGATTGCATCTCTCTATTTTGCGCAGCTGTTTCACAGAACTACCTGAGTAAATCACATACCTGAAAGATTTGTACACATGTATGCAGCTGAAAAAAAATGCTGACGTCACAACTTCTGTATTTCATATTTATGATATCAATGGTCAGGCAGTGTTCTACTGAGGTTCATTCAACAGTCTCGCAGCAAGAAAAAAACTTGAAAAGTGCAACAGTGTACAAAATGAAAGGAAGTGGGATTAAAAAAAAGTTATCTTGTCTAATATTGTCACTCAGGGAATTTAGTTATATTTAAACCTGTCAAGGCAAATTTGTGATGCACCTATCAACAGTTGATTCTTAATAATCTTTTCTGAAGTGTGGTGCTCGGTTATTAAAAATATACTATATATCTTTTTCCACTGTTACTAAACGCAAATATCTGAAGGTCTGCAAAGAACACGCAGCTAATAATTTTGAGAGTTACAGTGGTCTTGATGTTTTGGCAGGTGAAGCCAGAATCATTGACTTTATTTATTTAAAAAAAATACCCCTAGCTTCAGAACATTTCCCTTGTGTTAGGTGTCATGGATAAGTGAATTTGGGTATTGCGCAGATATCAAACTAAAGACAGCCCAGCAGCAACACAAACTGCTTTTCAGATTTTGCACAATTTAGTAGAAGATAAACATCAGATATGGGGCGTTTTCAAGGTTGGCCAGTATTATTTCTGTCAGAGCTGAATTGCACAGAAGATGAATATAAAGCAAAGTATGGTGGTATGAAGCTAAGTAATTGACGAAGCAGCTTAATTTAACTTAATGATTTGAGAACAAATTGTTGGGCACATAATACTGTGGTGTGTATGTGTATACTTGTTATCTGAGTCAGAAGGTTGTGGGTTCAATTCTAGGCTGACGCTAATGCAGTGCTGGGGGAGTGTTTCATTGTTAGATGTGCTGTTCTTCAGATTGGATGTTAAATCCAAGGTCTCGTCTATCTGTTCACGTAGATGTGAAAGATCTCATGGCACTAACCAAAAACTGAAGGGAGTTTCTTCTGGTCTCCTGGCCAACAATCTCCCAGATAAAATGTGAGCATTTGCTTCATGGCTCTTGTCAAACATGAGCACAAATTGGCTGTTGTGATCACCTTCAAACACAGTCACTACATTTTACAGTAAAACCTGTGAAGTGCTCTGAGATGTTTTGAGTGTGATGAAACACTATATCCAATGTAAGAATTATTCTTATCACACAAAGACATTCTCAAGGGTCAAATAAGATGCCGTGAAATTCAATATGTACAAAGAAGCAATGGAATACCAATTTTATCCCATGAATTAAGAATTATTCTGAATACATTAGTGAGGAAGTGATGAGTGATTTATAAAGGTCTTTTTCATAAGTGGAAAGGCCCTGTTTTCTTTACACAATGGCAATTTCAAATTCAGTTTGGAATTTAACCTCATCAAAAGATACATTTGATCCATCACAAGATCATTTAAGTGATGCTGATGAAAAAAAAATTGACCCATTTAATCTCATCCTTCCAGAATACCAGCCCTAACATCTTCTCATTACAGCATCATGCTGTTTCTTAAAGCAGACGATATACTGGCATTAACAACAGTAACAACTTACACTTATATAGCACTCTGCAGGCAGGGTAGCATCCCAAAGCGCTTAGCCTCTGAGCGCTGATCTTAACATGTTTGAGTTAAGATCTTTCATACCAAGAATGTCCAGTCATCTGCTAGTATTTCCCAGTGAGCAACTTTTATTTTTTTTCCCAATGGTTTCTTAGATTCTCCTGTCTTCTGTGGGTAATTTACATTCTATTTAAGTTGAGCTGCTAATATTGGAGCACTCTTTACATCTTTTCGCCATTGCTTCCCATCACCCAACTATTGAGAGCAGGTCAAAGAGTTGTCCTTGGGCTGTAGTATCTTATTGGCCTACTGAGCTGAAAGAGAGTGAAATGGTGAGAATGTATTTGAAAGCAATAAGATCAATTGAACATTATTTAATTTATCAAATTAATGCTTCAGTATTCAATAAGAAATTTATTTTATTCCTCAGGTTGTAAAAAAAAATGTAGTTCATTTTCTTTAATGTCTGGCAATACTGCAGCAAATAGCATTTTCACTGATTCATGTGCACCTTTGGTTATTTTCTTACTATAATTGCACAGAGATCCAAACATCACAATAAGAAATTTAGATATGCTTCTTTATTGATTGGTTTCTTGCAGATGTGTTTCTGTTCGTGCGGTTGCATTGCACTGAACTTTATTTGTGGAAACTTAAGGATGGCTCTCCCGCATCATCAGGCAGCCATTCATTTAATGGGAACAAGTTCAGATTTTCACGTACCTCTTGCAAGAGTGATCAGTATGTTTGATGACCACAAGCACGCTTTTTGAAATCTATTGATTGCTGTGAATTATTTATATCTAATCTTGAGTAATCATGACAAACTGGAAGCATATTCTAACCATGAATAGGCATTCATTCACCATGACAGCTGTGAAAATGAAACTCATCGTGCATCACTATTTCAGCCACTTTAGCTATTGCGGTGTTGTGGGAGCAGAATGTGATGTTGGTGCTGATAAATGCAGTAGTTACCTGTGTTTCAGCCGCTCCATCACTTCTGTTTTATATGGCTGACATAAATCACTCCTGTTTTATGACTGACACGAAGAGAGCATTAAAATGGCAAATTCATAAATGATTCACAAATTGAAGTAAACTACTGTTCAGGGTTTATTTTTAAATGGATTGCAGAACTTTATTTGGATCCTTTTAAAGAGCCCTCTAAATCTCCATAATCAAGCGCTATTTATTTAAATGTTGACTATTTTTAAAGACAACCAGAAAGCGAATGCTCATTTTAAGCTACTTCTATTATACTGCACTAGCTTGTGTCTTGCTCTACTTTCTGTAACAGTGAAATCTCCTAGGATATGAATAGAAGCATGACAATGGTCACGTTAACTTTCCAGTCTACTGATAGTTATGTCTGGTACACCTGTTACTGGATTTTGGCCCATTCTGCTGCATTGACAAGCTAACCTCCATTTGGTGTAAGAGCTGAAGATTAATTGCAAGTACCTAACCATGTTTTTTTTTAAAAAAAGGTTATTTGATTTTTTGCATTCTGCCCAACAGTGCTTTCCAAGTTTGATCCTTTGTTCCGAAAATTAAAAATATTGTGTTAACAATTATATAAATCTTCTTTTTCACCTAAGAGCCACAATACCTACATTTCTCAATGCTAATGTTTCTGTTCTCCCAGCCCCTTACGACAGTTTTTAATCACAGCTCCTTTAAAAAGATTTCTAGCAAAAGAGGGGACAAATGCATTGTAATTTGCAGCGTTTTTGAAAGATACTGTTAAAATAAAGTTCCCTTGCCCATTATATACGTAGCAGGAGAACAATGTTTCTGAACTTGCTATGGCAACATAGCATCCTTTTTGGTAAATATATAACATACCTTGGTGAGCATCAGATTTGTGGAGTGCTTACAGGACTCGGTGGCTGGTTTCCTGCTCGTAATGTGCAGGTCTCCCAATGTCTATCCTAACAAAGGCTGAAAACCCTCACGAGAGTTTGGACAAAGACCGTGCTGGCAACTCAATGCTGGAAACACTAACCAGCAGACATTTGTTTAGCACTCCTTGTTTTAATGTGGATTCTGGGTTTATGGACCCATGCTGCTGTATAATAATAGAGTTGGCCTGCAGTTTTAAGTGTTATAGAACGGCCCAGTGACATATATAGGTTCGTGTTAAACTAAACTGCTGTAGACTGGTGGGACACTGGATTGCTCTGAAAATTAGCCATCTCTGCCTTACTATCATTGGTAACCGAGTTAGGGTTATTAAGTAGCAAAATAGCATTACCGAAGGCCTGGGGACAGGTTGTCTGGTAGACTGATGTTGGGGAGAGGGGTGAGCTTAATAATATCAAGAAAATTTAATTTACATTTTTGCTAAAACTCTTAGGGAGGGCATTCCTTTTGTTTGCTGAAACGAGAAATGTATTGTTAAATCATGCCCCCAATGAAATATAACTGATTTACCTGGTACAGTTTAATAAATGCATTAATATTCCAGTTTATAACATTTCATAGTTCACAGATCACTGTGAATTGAGTAGATGTCAATCACTTCAGCATCATGCAGAGTTTAAAAGCAGTTTTGCAATGGCACTGGAATCAATTATAGCTCCTGTCAGAGTTCAAATTCAGCATCAAACTTATAGGCAGACGTTTCCTTGGAACATTTTTCTTGTATTGCACTGAAACAGCGGTGGTTCTTTTGTTCATTCTGTTTGTATTCTAATAACATGCAAGAAAATTTTAATTGATTTATTTAAACATCCAAGACTATTTATTTCCTTTTGAGTTTCCTTTCTTTCAATTGCTCAAAAATGTCTTCATGGTGTGTTATTTTCTCAGCCACAAGAGAAGGGGATATTTTTAAAAAAAGATTAATTGCAAAATGCTTCTATATGATGTAAGGAAGCTGCAGATTGTAGATGTGTCCTGATGCCCTTAAATGTAATTGGAGGCTCTGAGATACAAAACACTATTACAAAACTGTCTAAGCTCTTAATGATACTGCGCTGACTTAAGCTGTTCAGCGTAGTTTTCATGCCCCGTCATCTCTGAGAAGGGTGACATTTTATAAATAGAATTTTTTTAATAAATAATAATGTAAGTGAATTACTTGGTGCTGTTACAGAGCTCGCTGCTGATCTAGTCATAAAGTAGGTGATAACTGATTCAGCTGTTCAGCCTGAGATTTATGACCATCTATGTTCATGTTAGTGAAGAAACACATGCTAATGATTTTGAAAAGCTTTTTATTTTATTTTACTGCAGCATGTCACAAACAACCTTCCAACTTTTTTCAAAAAGAATCTTGGGTGCCTTTTTGTCAGATAGAGCAGCTACAAGAAAATGACTTGTCTAGTTGCTGTGCCAGAATAGTGGACTCTGCTTCTTCCTCGGAGACCAGAGTTTGAATCCCCATATTGATGAACGTTTGTATTTTCACTTCCCCTATAAGGTCATTTACACCAGCATCATTTCATGAGAGGATGGAAAACTGTTGAGGGAAGGGTTGACATACTTCCAGATGTTTTATCCAAAGAGCAGTTGACAGGGTTCTCCTGAGGTGTTCTTGAATGACACTAAATCTCTGTCATTCTCTATAAAAGAAAACACTTACCAATTCTCAACAATCATATTAGTTATGGAATACCTTTCACCGTTTAAACAAAAATGTAGAGAAGGCCATAATGCCCACTCAGGTAAAGATGTGGTTTGTGGAAGCAAAGTTAGAAGTGTTTATGTGGAGACAAGGGGAGAAAGAAAATTAAGATTGGCAAAACGACTGTACTGTTCCTTATTTCTCTGCGTTCTAAGAACTCTTGAGACACTACCCTGCATGGAGGGCGCTATATAAGTGCAAATTGTTGTTATTTCTGCTTTTATATAAAACGCATGGAGGGGACATTCAAAATATCGTGATGGCTCCTTCCAAATCTACTTGAAACCTACAGCACTGGAAACCTGCAGAAAGTAATGTTTAATAAATGAAGTATTGAAGAAATCTGTACAGGAAGGTGTCGCTTGCTTAAAAGGTCTTTCTTTTGAATTCATCAATAAAAGCAATAATCTTGTCAGTATTCGGATTGAGAAACTGAGGCAGACTATTGAAAACCATAAGGAAGAAAAAATGCTAAATATATTTAATATTCCTTCAGTTAAGCACTCTTAACCCCTCAGATATTTAAATGACTCATTTCGTGAACGTGTGAATAGAATAGATACTGGCAGAACGATTTATCTCACAATATGCTAATTTTCTAGAAGTCAATCCCCTGGGGGTTGAGGAAGGATTTGGTTTTAAAGAAATGAGAGTCCTACTATACTTAGGTTATATAAGAGTTCCTTTTCCCCTTCCCCCCCAGAAAATATAGTAGTATTGTGTTACAGAAAGGAAACCATAATTTACATTACTTATTGGGATATTTAGAAATATATTACTCATTGGTATTTACTGCCCGATCCAATGAAAATGAATTTATAGTCTGTCTTGCAAATCAGCAGTATTTCTATGTTGGGCAGTGAATCTTTCTACGTATCGGCCATTGATTTCTAATTGTATAGATGAGCTGCTGCAATGAAGCAGCGAAGCTACATAGACAACTGGTGGCATAGCAGATGAGAGTAGGTTGAAAGATTGCCCACACGTACATGTGTTAGCCAAAATCTGTGGACCAAATATAGCACTAAAATAAATTCAAGTTGATCTAGCAAAATTTAAAGCTGAGCAGCTTCTTGGAGCAAAATCTGGAAATTACGCCATTCCATTTAAAATTATGCTATAATTATTCTTTGCAAAGCAATCATGCTGGTACTGCAGTATTAGTAAGACAAACTGCCCCATTTGTTTTATTTTAAGTAGTCGCTGCAGGCATGCCAATATCAACTGAGTTTCAGCGCACAATCCAGACCTCAAGCACTGAATAATCATTAGCAGTTGAATGCTGCTTTTAAAATGTCGATTGTTAACTTTCCTACTTAGCAATCACAATTTTGTAATTTTGTTCTTAAGATTTAATACAAATCACTGATGTTAAGAGAAACAAACTTGTTCAAATGCTGACAGTTCTTTGCTTATTTAACTGGACAGACTTTATAGGGCTACTGGTTGAGTCACTCACATAAGTAAAGTGTACCAACTCAGAGAGAGAGAAAAAATGATATTTTTTAACTTCCTATTTAAAGGGCACATATCTGGTCAGCTGTCCTGTCCGGAGTAGACGGTGCCTATAGCCATGCGGTTTGTACTATGCCATTGTTCTATGCACTTGTAGCTGAGTAAACTGTCTGTTTGCCTGGATCTCTTTCCTTTCCCACCAAAAAAAGGAACATTCCAGCAGAAACAGGGCTAAGCTATGCATTTCTTTCATACTTTGCCCAGTGGCCCTGTTGAAAATGGATGCAAATCTTTCGCTACCATTGCCGGCAGGGCCTCACCCTCTATGTCACCACCCCACATTCCCTTTGCCTCGCTCCCTCCTTTGCCTCCTTCAGGGCACACTTTAAGATCCTCCTCTTCAACCATGCCTTTGGCCACCCTTTCTGCCCTCCATCCTCCCTGATCCCAACCCCCCTCCGCCCCGCTTGGGTTCCTAATCCTTTATCCCTGACTGTTCAGCGCTTTGGGATGACCTCCCGATGTTTTACAAATGTAATTTTGGATTGGATTGCTCTACCTGAAAGATCATCCACAGAAACAGGACAGGAGGAGAGTAGTCACTACATGTTAGACTTTGATATATTGCTAATCATGAAATATACACGTGCATATATGAAATTCATAAACCTAAATACCAGTCTTGAGACAGGAAATAAATTTGTGTTTTGAAATTCTAGCCATGTCTTAACTGAGCTTCTTTACCAACCACCTGTTTGAATCCTTTATGCATCAGTGAGTCCCTCAGGCCTGGTATAGGTCATTCAACAGGAGAGAATATACTTTCGATGCTGAACCAAAAATGTGCATTCAGTGCTGCTAGTCTCAAGCCAAAGTCTTTTTTTTTAAAAAAAAGCACCTTTGAATTCACTGCATAACTTTCAAAACATGGAATTTCAGAATGTATATTTTCTCTAATCGTTTCAATTTATGTGAAGGACAATCATTTACTTTATGGTTGCTAGAGCTTTTTGTTTTAATGATGGGTGTGCATTGAATTAAAAAGCGGTTTAAGGAATGGAATGATGTAGTAGGTGGGTAGGTAGGACATAGATCCTTCTTGCCAACGATTTGTCACGCATCGAATTTTCCATCAAGGGACAGAGGCCAGACCTCCTTATGAAGGAGAGCAAATTAACAGACACAAGAGCCCAAACCACGATTGTATACCACACAGCGATCAGGATAAAGTCCCAAGAGCCGTCCACTTGTGCACCTTCCTGTCTGGGCAATGACATGCAAATGAGGAAGAAGCACTAGTTTAGAAATATGAACACAATAGCATTTTTTAAGATTTGTATATAGTAATGTTTGCATAAGACAATTATGAATTTAAATTCAATAATTGCAGGTTATACATTTCATGCCAGCTACACTTCATGTTTTCTCTTTAACTCTGCAGCGGGACAGCTCAGCCAGTCAGCACACTTTGCTCTGCAGCTGCCCTATGTAGTACTTGGTCTAGGACGCAGTGCCAACTTCCTCGACCACCTTTATGTTGGAATTCCTCGTCCTCTTGGAGAAAAGGTAATGATCCATTACCTTTTGCATTGTTTAAAACATTTGTGCTTGCGTGGTGTGTGTGTGTGTGAGAGAGAGAGAGAGAGGGACCGCGATTCTGTAGCAGTGTATGTTAATATGTTTTAATACCTACAGAGTTTAGTGTGTAAATTGTTTGAAATAATCTTAACTGGCAATATAACTACAGTTTTAATATTGTGCGTTTTAAAGAATTCCTTAATTTCCTTAATTCCTATTCCTTAATTTCCCTCTGCCTCTCTTTTGGGTGGGGGAGGTGTCTTGGTTTCTCAGTAGCACGCATCATTCCCTGACGCAGGGAACGGATAGATGGCCTCGTACCAGGACTGTGCCATCATTGGCTGCAGCTTTGAGACGCACAAGAATGGTTTCAGTTAACGTTTTCTGCCCCTGTCTCAGACTGAAAGCTGAGTGTTCTATTTGGGCTCTACATACTGAATGACTAATGATTGTCGTTTGAGAAATGTTTAACTGAATGAATATTTTGTTAATGCTGTCCCTTTTGCACTCCCTTTTAAGAATACATGTTTTCATTCATTGTCCATCACTGGAGAGTGAGTGTAATTGGTTTGCCAGATACCCATTCTCATAGATATTGGATGTGTGAAAAGAATCTGAGGTATCCCTGACCCATTTGTTAGTGTGTGTGGGTGTTAAGATTTCTAACAGTTTTTTTTCTTTGACTAATTATGAAAATTTGAACGAAAATTGCTTTCATATTTAATGGTACATTTTTCTCTCCGTTAGTCAATAAGAAAACAAGAATGGACAGCTATTATTCCAAATTCTCAGCTCATAGTCATTCCATATCCTCATAACTCACCAAAAAGGTAATGCTTCTAAAAAATAATAATTTTGCACATTGTAACCTGAGAGGGTGTTTCTTCTGTTCTTATATTTCAAAAGACATTAGTGTTGCTATATAAGTAATAGTAGACATTTGTTGCAACATGAAAGGAGCATAAGACAAACATGTTGTCCCCTAATGTATTTTTATAATATTTAGACCCACTCTATTATATGTGATTGTAATAAATAATATAAATCAGTTATAACTAAAGTAATGATCTTTTGAAGACTATTTAGGCTTTTAGGAAACATCATGTGTAGGCTCGCACCTGAGGTAGCTGGTTTGACCTCTCTGATGGTTTGGATTTACCCGTTCATTTCACTTAAAACCTACTTGTTTGATCCATTGTATTCTGTAAAATACAAACCGTGGCTTTGAAGCTTGCAAAATACCTTAATGGTGCATTGGTGATCAATTGGAAAACTTGGTGCTTGAACTTTGTTTGTTCAAATGAATCAGAAATTATAAACTTATAATATGTTATCCATAACTGAGAGTTCTTTTAAGTGAGTTTATATACATAATATTTGGCTTCCTTTAAATTTGGGAACAGAATTATGTTCAGGGAATATTGAACCAGGGATGGAAACTGCCTCTGTGATCAACAAGAGTGTAGAACATTATTTCTCAGATTTACATCTTCATTTCTAACTGAAGTATTATTCCCACTTGGAGGCAATGCGTAAAAAGCAAAGATTGGGCATATGTCAGCTGCAGGGTTTCTGCATAATTTGTGAAAAAGTGTCAGCAGCTGAGAACAACCAAGCCTGAAAATGAAATCCGACTAAGTAATGAATCAAGTACAGACCTAAACTGGGAGAGGAGGAGACAGATAAACTTAGTGAGAAAACAGTAATGAAGAAATAAAATATTAGGAAAACAGATATTACTAGTTATAAAACTGTGTCCAGTTTTAATGGAAATAGTAACGAAGGTGACAAAGGAAATGGTGAATTGTTTTATGTATCAGTTAGAAATTAAGTATTACCAGCTTTATGTTAAAGAAATCTGCAGTAATTATAAATCTCTTTAAACAATTGATTTAAAGCACTTTTTTGTTAGACAAAAGACTTTCTTTTTTAAACTCTATGTACTGAATGTGAGTTTTTAAGTCCTAATGGGATCCATGCACATCAACCAAAATTGCTTTCAATGTTTTACTAAACACTGAAGCAAATTGGTGAATCTGATGGTATAAGAGAATGGAATTAACATCTGCGGAGATGTAAAATAGAATTCCCTCCCCACCAGTTCATGAAATTCTACCCATAGTCATTAGTCAAAGTGCTTCTTGATTCAACTCCCTCATGCTGTTGGCCTCAGGAACTCTTCCAAACCAGTTCCCAGGTCGTCTCATCAGTACCGCTTACTGTTTCAACAGAAGTATTCCCAAAGCAATCAGCAAAGACAGGATAAACAGAAAGATGTTAAAGTTGAAAATAACGTAATGGTGCGTACCAAAACACATCAGAACAACAAAAACAAAATTACATTTTTATAGCGCCTTTCACGTTAGGAGGACGCCCCAAGGCGCTGAAACACTTAACGTGTGGTAAAAATCCTATGACAGAAGTTAGTGCCTGAAAACTTTTGCATGGCTGAGGGGAAGCATCATGTGAAGCACAAAAGCTTTGCCACAGGGAAGATGACCTTAGCTGTCCTTCTGTAGGGTTTACAGTACTTTAGAATGGATAGCAGCCAATAGTCAGCACTGCTTCATGCTCAGCTGGCAAGTACTGTAAATCCAAAACTAGGCACCTCCAATTGGCTAGCTTGGTATTCTATATTATACTGACTTTAGTAGAGGTTCTGGGGCAAGGATCAACCTCCTTGTCCACCACTCGCATATAATTGCAAGAATAGGGGAAAAAATCATCCTCGGCAAAAATAAATGACTACACTTTAGGAATGAATGATTATTTTGCAAGCTATATCCAAGCATTATTTCCTGAGCAGTATATCTCAGTGGACCTACTAATTTTATTCTCTAATGAATTTAAGGACAGTGTTGGCTTGGTGAAATGTTATTTTCCTTTACCGTTTTTGTATCCTTTCTTCTTTCCACAGCTGGAGTGCCAAACTGTATCTGACCCCAAGTAATATTGTGCTACTTACAGCCATAGCCTTAATTGGGGTCTGTGTTTTCATCTTGGCTATAATTGGGATCTTACACTGGAAGGAGAAGGTATTTTCTTTGAAATTTTAATTAGACGCTGTTTGATATGTTCTTTCACACATTGTTTCTAAAAAGGTGTGAGACGAGCTACAAAGTGTGCAAAAGAATCTCAAAGACTTTTAGAGCAATTTAATTAACAGTTTTAACATGTTCACATTAACACACCAAAGTAATTGTGTTTGACCTTGTGTGTTCTTGCTAGGTTTTAAATATTAAAGAAGCATAAACCTTGACAGTAAGACGGTTCTTATTTTAATTTCAAAATCTATTAAACTGGGATTTGTTTACAAACTTTCAACAAGATAAAGTAAGACTACTTACATTGTAGGATCAATTGAGGCAGTTTCCGCATCCTCCAGGAGCAAGTCCAGTTTGCCAGGGGGATGACTGAACTGTTGAGTTTTAGGACTATCTAATGGTTTACAGGATTAATACACTGTGTGATACAGAACCCTCAGCCCTAATGGAAAATGTGCTTTGAAAGTTATGATAGGTGAGCACAGAATTGGTCTCAGCTGTGAATCCTCTGAAGTCAAATAGCCTAAACACACATGCTGGTTAACCTCATTATGAAGAATGGACATGAGAGATACCGGGAGCTTCCATAACCGGTGTGACATTACAGCCCAATGAGTCAGTGGCTTCAGGGGAGACTGGTAGGCTGAGGGGATTTTTTTTGTGCGATGATTCATTCTGCTTTTCAGCAGAGTGCAGTGACGACAGCTTCTTCAGTCCCTGTTGGAGGACTCTTCCTCCAGAGCATTTAACAAAGTACTTTGTTCAAACTGTATAATGGTAGATGAATATTATTAGAACTGTTGACCTTGATTCTCACAGATTTAATAGGCTATATTTATAAGCTAATTTGTCTCGTGTTTTTACTTTTGTTGGATAACCAGTTATCTGTTTTATTGATCCATGTTTTTGACCTTCTGAAAGAAGAATTAGAGGCTGCTACTCTTGGTTAGAACACGCCTTTTCTTATTTATATCGTGAAATGCATCTCATAAAATGTTTCATGGATGCAGTTCTCTGGATACCTTGGCTCTTCATCAAGTTTGTTTATAAAACCAAAACACAACTGCACAAAAAAGCCCTACTACTTTATTCTCTGTATATTTATAATATCATTCTTCGATTTTACTAAATTGACAGTCGCCTTAACAATTTCTGGCTAGCTTATGTATTTACACACAAGGTTCTGCTCCTTGTCATCCATTGAAGAGTATGTTGAAAAAATATTTGTTTCTAATGAACTATCTTTCCACTTTCTTATTTCAGAAAGCAGATGACAGGGAGAAGCGCCAGGAGGCACACAGGTTCCATTTTGATGCCATGTGAAATGGAATGATTCTTGCGAGACAAAAGAGAGGCCAAATAGTATTGTGTTTGACACAAAACATCAGAGCATGAATTACTTTCTAACAAGTTTTTTTAATAGAGCTTGATTTCAACTTTACGTAGTCTTAACTGCTCTAGGTTTTTTTTAATTCAATTAAACATTTGTGGGTAATTAATGTAAATGACTTGACTTGTATATTTTGGGTAGTTGGGAATAATTTATAAATAAATTATTATTTTCACTGGCTTATTGTTGGTATTTCCAAATGTTCTTTCTTATATCAGCTTGAAGTACTCTGTCCTTCTGTTGTATAATTGTGACTTGTCGGGATGTCTGCGAAAAAAAATAAATGGTCTTTCTGTGGGGAAGTGAGTTTGGTGTCTATAGTTTATATAAAAAGTAAATCATTGCGTGTGATAAACTCTTAACGTTTGAAAGCAAAACAATGTTCTGGTTTTGAATTTGGATTTTTCACCTCTGCACTGCATTATGATTCCAGACTACATAAAATTTGACAGAGTACTAAAACTGACAGGTAGCTGCGAGACTGGATATCTGTGGGATTCTGCTATTGCTTAGATAGTCCTAAAAAAACATGATTACAGTTAAATCCAATCTCTTCATCTGATCCCACACACATACATTACAGCAGGGGTCACTAAATAACTGTATGGTGCGAAATTAACAGGTTTTTTAATCCCTCCCAGGAGCGCTCAGAACAATTCTGTCGCCTACAAATATAGTCGCAAACCTTTCTATTAAAATCCTGTGAAGTGCTTTGAGACATCTCAATAATATGATCAATGCAAAAGTTTTTTTTTTTTAAAATCACCCTTACAGTTCCACCCAGTGAGATCAGCGATGGACATGGGAGTCTGGATCTGTGGTTTAATTTCATGCTGGGAAGTGGGTTTCCCAATTGTGAGCCTTCCAGTGAATACTAAATACACAGTCGTAAACCACTTTACAGTATATCCTGCGAAGCAACATTGAAGGCACTGTGATCAAATGAACGGATTATATTACATTTTTATGCAAGTGATAGGGCATTGTTGGCCCAAATACAACCTGAAGTTGTACTGGAACCACAGAACCACACACAGGTTTGTGTAGTTAGTTTGGTAGCAGATGTGAGAACTCCCAGGTTATTTTGCTAAGTATGTTTGGGCACTTTGTTTCCCTGCTATAAAGAATGCCTCTCCTAAATTATCCCGAGAGGTATGGCCCGAAAGATCAATTTCTCTCCCACTCTCTCTCTCTCTGTGTGTGTGTGTGTGTGTGATAGGTCTGATCTGTCATCTCCCATTATTTTCCAATGGTTTCTTACAAGGATGCCTGGATAAGTGGGCTCGTTGCGATCTGTGCAGTCTCGCTGAAAGGGACAACGCATCATTATTTTAGAACGAGAGTGTCTGTTGTCACGAGCAAGAAAAAAAAATATCAGTGGAGTAAGATGGGCGGACGTGGGAGCTTGTAACACGGCAGCACGTCTCCTGCATCGCTCTGCAAGTCTGCAGTTCGAGTTTCGTGGCACTTCTGCCAAGTAGCGCAGTGTTCAGTCAGTCAGTCAACATCGCCTGTTATTTTGCATTGGATGCATTTGATGCAAAGGTTTTTTTTTAATGCGTTAATCTGTTTGCAACTTACAATGATTTTGTAGGGGTGGTGGTGGGGGGGTGGTGGGGGGGGGGGTGAGTCGCTGACATTAAAAAAAAACCCTTGCGTTTGGGGTTTTTCTTAACCCTCTTAGAGATTGTGGCATTTTTTTTAAAAAATCAGACGCCCCTGTAACAGCGTATGGCGGTGCTGTGCAGAATGCCTTAAAAAAAAGAGAGAGAGAAACCTGCCGTGCGTTTCGTTTCCCCCCCAACCCCACCACCCCTTTAAAAAGCAAAGCCAAAACTTTGCAGGAGGAATATCTGCTCGGGTTTATGCATCAGAGCCCTCTGGTCGTTCTGGGGCTGTTGGTTCGTGCCCGATGGCTGGTGTGTGTGTGTGTGTGTGGGGGGGGGTGTGTGTGGGGGGGTGTGTGGGGGGTGTGTGTGTGGGGGGGGGGGGTGTGTGGGTGTGTGGGGGGGGGGGGTGTGGGGGGTGTGTGTGTGTGGGGGGGGGGTGTGGGGGGGGTGTGTGTGTGTGTGGGGTGGGGGGGGGTGTGGTGTGGGGTGTGTGTGTGTGGGGTGGGGGGGGTGTGTGTGAGGGGTGTGTGTGTGTGGGTGGGGGGGGTGTGTGTGTGGGGGGGGTGTGTGTGGGGGTGTGTGTGTGTGGGGGGGTGTGTGTGTGTGGGGGGGGGTGTGTGTGTGGGGGGGGGGTGTGTGTGTGGGGTGTGTGTGTGTGGGTTGTGTGTGTGGGTGTGTGTGGGTGTGTGTGTGTGTGGGGTGTGTGTGTGGGGGTGTGTGTGTGTGTGTGTGGGGTGGGGGGGTGTGTGTGTGTGTGTGGGGTGTGGGTGTGTGTGGGGTGTGGGTGTGTGTGTGGGGTGTGTGTGTGTGTGTGTGTGTGGGGGTGTGTGTGTGGGTGTGTGTGGGGGTGTGGGTGGAATTGGAAACAGCGGGGCTGCAAGTTGGGTTATGTGGGGCTGTGGAGATGGAGTGTGTATATGCGTACAAACCGCTGGTTGTAACACAGTCAGAGTCGGACTGCAAACGAGAGCCTCGTTCATTTGCTCATCCTTCCACCCAACTGGGAGCTGAAGTGTCTCCTCGCCCTCACTGGAGCCACAGTGGGGGGTTTTTTTTTCTTTCTGTCTCTCGACGTCTTCGCATCTCGTGAGGGATTTCGAGCAGAGAAACACACACACACACACAGAGGGAGAGGGAGGGACCATCATCCTTTCAATCGTCTCAACTCTTTATCAACAGATCGCCTCGATGAGATGGAGCAGCATTTTTGTTTCTTGCGTGTGATGCGTTAACAAAAAACACACACACACACACACCACATACACACACACATACACACGCAACACATACACACACACACAACACACCACATACACACACACACACACACACAACACACCACACACATACACACACACACACACACACGTGCACCTACACAACTCCCAACCAGAGGAAACTTACAAGAGAGAGAGATAACCATCAACGGGATGGAGGAAACTGCCTGAACCACAGATCGGATCCGACAGACCCCCCGACCCCCCCCCCCCCCCGACCCGACCCCCACCCCCCAGGGATGGAGTTAAACCGGTGCGGAAAGTTTGACGCTGCTTTTCTCGAGTGAAACAACGAGTCGTGGGGAGGGGGTGAGGAGTGGGGAGTGGGGAGGGGGTGGGGAGGGGGAGGGGGTGGGGAGGGGGTCTCTTCCCGGATGCCAGACTTCGGCGCAGAACTTAACAGTGCTCCAGTCAGAGCATTGAGAGGGGATTGCGAACCGAACCTCCCGTTGTAAAGGGGATTCGGGTAAAAGAGACGAGAGGACAGAAGAGTGAAACCCTGTGACTGCGCGACTTGACTCCACAGTGTGTGGGGGTGTGTGGGGGTGTGTGTGGGGGTCGGTCACTGGACCATCTTTTTGCATCCGAAGCTGCAGCATCTCTCTGCACCGACCCCCAACCCGAGCACCGGGGAGGAGGGGAGGGGGAGGGCAGGGGGTGGGGGGTGGGGGGGGGGACACAGCGGGAGCCCCTCCACCCCGAGCCCCTGAGCTGATTGACGGGCAGAGATGTTGGCGCTGAAGAGACGCTTCTTCGTGTTAAAAGGTGAGTGCGGATCACAGTTCCCAACGCAGAGGTGTCGGAGCGCCATCTGCAGCTGTTTCTTCGCCCTCCAAAAAAAAAAGCTTTTTTTTAATATAAAAAAAGATTTTTAAAAAACCGCTCCCAAACAAAGAGAGAGAGAGAGAGAGACGTTCCTGGTTTTTTTTTTCGTTGATTAACACCGCTTTAATGTTTTCTCTCTCTTTCTCTCTCTCTCTCTCTCTCTCATCGGAGAGCAACAATCACTTCGTGCAACAAATAACCCGGTGTTGGGCTCAAATTGGGGCTGTGATGGTTGGCGTAGAGATAGATACCCGAGAAACGTGACGATTATCCCCCCCCCCACCCCCCCATCCCATCCCACCCCCCCCCCCCCCCCCCACCCCCCAGTCGATTGCGAGCCGCGAATTTTTTTTAAAAAAATATATATATAATTATAATAAAAAACGAGTTAAAAAAAAATAAATTTAAAAATCGCAGAAAAAAAAAATTTAGACAAATAAAGAAATCCAAAAAGAAAAAGAAGAGCCAAAGATCGCGATGGAGAGTTGTGCCATTGTGGAGGCGACCGCCGGAGGGTAAGAGTCGGGTCAAGGCACGAACTGAGAGAATTAAGTGCCAAAGAAAAAGGGGGTTTGATGTGCAGGTGATGTTGTGTGTTGTGTTGTGTGTTGTGTTTGTTGTGTGTGTGTTGTGTGTGTGTGTTGTGTTTGTTGTGTGTGTGTGTGTTGTGTGTGTGTTGTGTTGTGTGTGTGTGTGTGGTGTTGTGTTGTGTGTATTGTGTGTGTGTATTGTGTATGTGTGTTGTGTGTGTTGTGTGTGTGTTGTGTTGTGTGTGTGGTGTGTTGTGTGTTGTGTGTGTGTGTTGTGTGCGTGTTGTGTGCGTGTTGTGTGTGTGTTGTGTGTGTTGTGTGTGTGTGTGTGTGTTGTGTGTGTTGTGTGTGTGTGTGTTGGTGTTGTGCGTGTTGTGTTGTGTGTGTGTGTTGTGTGTGTGTATTGTGTGTGTTGTGTGTGTGTGTTGTGTGTGTGTGTGTGTGTGTTGTGTGTGTGTATTGTGTGTGTGTGTGTGTTGTGTTGTGTGTGTGTGTTGTGTTGTGTTGTGTGTGTGTGTATTGTGTGTGTGTGTGTTGTGTGTAAACTCAGCACAGGTTTGCAGTCTGGCAGTCTCCCCCCACACAACACACCCAGTAAACAAAGACGAGCAGAAGGGACATCACACAAGAATTGTGAGGGCCAAAGGAAAACCCAAAGGTCCATCCAGTCGGCCTTTTCCAGCGTCCTGACAGGTCCACTCTCACAGCGTCGGGTCCCAAACTCCACAACCGATGCTGTTATTTTCCCTGACGGAGATCTGAGCTCAGGTGCTCACAAGCTCAGGTGCATCCACCTGTGCAGATTGTATCATCAACTGCATATTATTAGGTGCGGGGGAACACGCCTCGTAACATTCATGATAGGAGGAGGAGGAGGATGGGGATGGGGTTGGTGGTGGGGTTGGCATTTCTCTGTCTGGTTGTACCTTTGCTCCAGGAGCTGCTGAAGTAACAGTTCCCCCACGTGTTGCTGCGCTTCGCAGAGCTTCAGTCTGAACCCCTGTGTGAGCACCTCACACCCCAACTGGTGTTCAGGGCTCAGGAATCCTTCTTTGCAGTGTTTCTTTGCAGTGTTCCCCTTCCTCTCCCTCCCCACCCCTCCTCCTCCCCCACCCCATCCCCACCCCTCCAATTATTCTACAAAAAAAAACCCTATTCTGATCAATATTTTGTTTTAAATGCATCATTTCTCAACCATATTCATATGCATAATCATATTCCATGTGTTGCTCATGGGCAAGACTCATAAAACGAGTCGTGTGAGACAGACAGAGAGAGGCGAAGACAGAAGGATGTGCTGCTTAATCTGAATGCTCTTTGACTAGTCTTAACTCCATCCTTCAGTATAAGCACGTACTGGAAGAGAGAAAGACTTATGGTGGAAAGAAGCTGGTGTCTTCACCACAGTCAACTGGATTGCAATAAAGCGACATGAATATATTTGGGGAATCGTGATGTGGGACAGTAAATAAGGACAACCGTAAATTAGTTTAGTGTTGGCTTTTAAGGGGAAATGCCTAAAACCCCAACGGTTTGCCCGCATGCTTTGTTTTGTTTAGCATTAATGCTGTCCAAACGTATCAGTGGTTGCATTTCACAATCCCAAACAGCATTGAACATTTTGGGATCGTGTAGGACATGTTATGGGCCGAGGGTTTCAATCGGATGACATTGTTGAATATGTTTATTCACCCACCTCCACAAATAATCCACACACACACACACACACAAATCTGGATTTGTTTCGTGTGACCAATTCAATTGGCAATTTTTTTGGAGAAAAAAAATCGATTTGGTCTCAGGATGCACCCACCTGTGTGTGAAAGGACTATGTGAGAGAATGCCTTGCCCCATTTTTGAGTGGCAGGAATGGTTTAGGCTCTGTGTTGCACAAAGAACTCAGGGTTTGCCTTCCCCCTGATGTGCAAACATTGCCCATAATACGGAATGCAACCATTGTAATGTGATGACTGGTTTGGCAAACGCACTTTTAAAACCCGAAAGAATTATAATATATATATATATTAAAAATTCTTTGTTACTGTTACGTGAGCACTTCTTCGCTCACCTGGATCGAGGGTGGGGAAGAGTAGGAGAGGGTAATGCTACCCAGGTAGTTACATGATGCTTATATTCCCTCAAACATGCGTTGCATTTGGTCTTTGCTTGTGGTGCAATTGCACAAGACACAGAATTGTTTCTAGTGACTGAGTAGGAGAATGTCAATCTTACATTTACAATCAAAATCCAGATATCAGTTTCATTGCCTCGCAAAATACACATTTTTTTTCCAACAAAACTCCGGATGTCGTGATTTCAGAGCTAATTTTGTACAGAGATGAATCTTAAACTCTTAAACGCCAACTGTTAAGTGTTTTCTCAGAATGGCAGCAGTGGTGGGGTGTTATTTTAACACGTCAACTGACATAAGTGTGAAAACACTTCGATATACCAGAAAATCGCACAGAATATCTAGCTATAGCCGTAACAGTCCTTCCAAGAAATCCTGGATTATTGCTTGTACCTGTAAATCAATTACATTTTGACGTTTGGTTTAAATCTATCACTTCACCATCTCTGCTTTCCTTTATTCTCATCACTTGGGCATTGTAAAAATGTTGGGATATGAGGTTCCAGCATTGTCTAATAAAATATGTTGGGAAGCAAGACCTGTCCTCAGTATTTTACATTCTAATCCTGCAAAAACTTTAGTTTCTTAACGTTAATTGTATGACTGACTGCACCAGACTCATTTGATCACGCTTTACATAAAGCTCACATACTGTTTGGTGCACAGTTCTGTGGATTGAATGCAGTTAATTACTTGTGACAATAAGGTTGGATTATATCCAAAGTGTGTTACCTCCAGCCTCATGCAGAGAGCTTCAGCTTTTGTATTGAGAAGCCTCAGACTCACAAAACCAGAGGCACATGACTTGAAGTGACCTTTTCTCATTCTGGTTCTGCATTGACCACATACCCTACATGTCTCTGTGGGATCTAAACGCTGGGGCGAGATATGAAGAATGGTTTTACTGTCTATTTAGATGAAATACTGATGTACCGGTTTTCGTCTCTGCTTTGATAAAAACAATCATTTGTGCAGTTTCTTATTTTTTTAATATATACATAGAGATATATATATACACTGTACAAAAAAATGAAAAGTGATTTAAATAAATGTTTTTTTGCACTGTTTTAATTTTGTTTCCAATAAATAAAACCTATATTTCTCCCTAGTCTGGTCAGTCATCGTTCTCACCGGGGCGATAGCATCCACGCAGAAGACTCGAGGTACTTTTTTAAAAAAAATAATATTTTGTACTCTCAAACAATTATTGTGCTGAATGACTGTAAGCAACATAGGATCCTCATCCTGCGGTGTGAGCTGGGATCTAAAAGGAAGGACAGTACTGCAGTGAAGTACATTAGAGTCTCTGAGATGTAACCGTGGTCTGTCTCACTGGCAGTCTCTCATCTGGATGGAGATAGGAATGAATCAACTCAATCCTTGTCAATGATGGGCTGCCTGCCAGGCGTTTACAGGCAGCTAGTGCCCAATACATCAGCAATGACAGCCCCCCAGGCACGTCATGCTACATCTACCAGGCTTAGACCAAACTACCTGTTATGTTGGTTGGGTGGCAGCCACCTGTTTGACAGCCCTGATACTGTTCAGGTCCAGGATAACAAAAATATAAAGTGCACTTGTTTCACTTCATAGAGGGACAGAACATCGCAGCGCGTCACAAGCCGGCAACGCAGTGCGGCGTTTGGGTTCGGAACGAGAATGGGGGTTACTTTTCTTCACCCAGTTATCCCCAAACCTACCCTCCCAACAAGGAATGCGTCTACATCCTGGAAGGTACTAATTTCATTTGCAGATTAGCGCTCAAGAGTTTCGGAGCAGCAATTGCACACAAACAAACAAACAAACAAAACAAACAAAGCACAGACTGGACGAGTTGGTATTCTGTCCACTGCAATTGTGCTGTTAGCCTGGGTTTGCGTTATGTAACTTGTTAAGGCGCACTTTGCTGTCGTTTTTTTTTAATCATATGCCTGGCACCTGAATAGTAATGGACATGTATTGTCGCAAAAATAAATGAGCCCTGGCGTTGAAATATTTAGGTTTTCTTTCACAATCGCCAATTTATTTGTTTTTTTAAATTAATTTTTGGTCAGCCGGACATGTCTGACACATGGGGGAATCCCATCACCAGGTTTAAGAGTATCCAAACCAAACTGAGGATTTCATGCATCCCACCAAACACATGGAAATCATAGAGATAATAATAATAACAATAATCCTTGCAGTTGATATAGCGCCTTATCACGTCTTCTAGACGTCTCAAAGCGCTTCACAGAATAAACTGTAAAGTGAATTGACTGTATATTTGTGGGCCAAACCGGCAGCCAATTGTGCACAGCAGTGTCCCACAAACAGTTGTGGATTGAGCGACCAAATTATTATTTTATTTTAAATTTTTCTTGAGGGGTTATTATCGGGCGTGTGGAGTAAGGAAACTTGCCCAAGGTTTCGCCCTTGCGAGGCGAGTTCTCTAACTACTGAGCTACCAATTGATAGATTGTTGGAATGGAATGAGCACCCTCTCCTTGGAGGGAGGCATCTTGCTTTTATCCTTTTACAAGCCCCCAACTTACCAAACCTCTGCTGTGTTCACAGCGGCCCCACGTCAGAGAATTGAAATTACCTTCGATGAACCTTACGACATCGAAAAGTCCTGGGACTGTAGATTCGATAACTTGGAAGTGAGAGATGGGCCATTTGGATTCTCCCATCTGATAGACCAATACTGTGGTCAAAAGAGCCCAGCCGTCATTAAGTCAACCGGGAGATTCATGTGGATAAAGTTTTCCTCAGACGAGGAACTGGAAGGAATTGGATTTCGAGCAAAATATTCCTTTGTGCCAGGTGACTAGATAATCCAGTTTGACATTTGCAGGATATACTGTATTTACCAGCATCTGAATTATAATAACAATGTAATATTATTCCTTGCATTTGATATAGCGCCTTATCATGTTGTTGATTCGTCTCAAAGCGCTTCACAGAATATACTGTAAAGTGAATTGATTGTATATTTTGTGGCCGAATCCGCTCAATGTTGGAAAGATTTGACTTTGGGACAAATTGCTTCAAAATAAATTTGTAAATTACTATTTACAAATACTAAAGTTCACTTAAACATCCCATTCAAATCGACAATCTAACTTGTGATTACTTTTGCAGATCCAGATTTTATTTACCTGGGAGGAATCCTGAATCCCATTCCAGGTATGGTAATGGTAATCGGTTAATATTTTCAGATTAATTTATAAAATGCAAATTGTCTTCCTCCTTTATAAAAAAAATCCATCTTTTGCCTCAGCAGACTGCCAGTTTGAACTGGCGGGGGCTGATGGAATTATCCGCTCAAGTCAAGTGGAGCAAGAAGAGAAAATCAAACCAGGAGAAGCCATTGACTGCATTTGGACGATCAGGGCTCCACCAACGGCTAAAGTATGTAATGTAGGCGGCACGCAAGGCACATAATGTTAAACAATACTGACGAACCATATGAGTCCTGTTTGACTGTTTGTGGGACATTGCTGTGCGCAAATTGGTTGTCCCGTTGGCCTACAAAATCCACAGTCACTACACTCGACAGTAAATCCTATGAATCACTTTAGACATTTCGACAACATGATAAGACACTATACCAAATGCAGGGATTATTATATAGCTGGATGATTATATTGAAATACGCTGTGCTAAAAATGAATGCATAATAATACTAATCCTTATATTTGATATAGTATCTTACATTGTCATCACAATGTCTCAAAGCCCTTCACAGGGTATACTGTAAAGCATAATGATTGTATTTTGTGGATGACTACTGCAGCCAATTTGCACAAACAATATCCCACAAACAGTCACAAAGTGAATGATCAATTTTATTTAAGGGATTGTAGTCCAGGACGTCGGGAGAAACTCCCTTCTCTTTTCAAATTGCGCCGTGGGATTCTTAATGTCCACCTGAACAGGCAGACGGTCCCTTGGTTTACAACAACAACAAGATTCCATTTATAGAGCGCCTTTCACGTCGGGAGGACGTCCCAATGTGCTGTACAGTTGGGTCAGGACCCGAGCATGGGAGAAATGGTCAGGGTGAGGGGAGGGAAGGGAGGGAGCGAGGAGGGGGTAGAGAATCGAGAGGGGAGCTGAAGGCACGGTCAAAGAGAAAGGTCTTGAGACCGGCCTTGAAGGAGGAAAAGGAGGAGGCGGAGAAGGCACTGGGGGATGGAGTTCCAGAGCCTCGGGGCTGAGAGGCTGAAGGCCCGGCCACCGATGGTAGGGCGGTTGGAGCGGGGGATGTTGAGCAGACCGGAGCCAGAGGAACGGAGGGTACGGGCAGGGAAGTAGGGGGATAGTAGGTCGGAGAGGTAGGAGGGAGCGAGGCCATGAAGGTGAGGATGAGGATCTTGAATTCGATCCTCTGGAGGATGGGGAGCCAGTGGAGGCGAGCGAGGGTGGGAGTGATGTGGTCGCGAAGCCTGGTGCGGGACAGTACACGAGCTGCAGAGTTCTGAATGACCTGCAGCTTGTGGAGGGAGGTGCGGGAAGGCCGGCGAGGAGAGAGTTCCCATAGTCCAGCCTTGAGGTGATAAAGGCGTGGACCAGAGTTTCAGCAGCGTGAGGGGTGAGGTAGTGCCGTAGTCTGGCGACATTCCGGAGGTGATGGAAGGCGGTGCCAGTTGTGGCGCGGATATGAGGGAGAAAGGACAGCTCAGGGTCGAACAGAACACCGAGGTTCCTGACTGGCTTTGAGAGGTGGAGAGTGCAGCCTTGGATGCTAATGCTGTCAGCGCCTGAGGTGCGGAGGCGCTGACGTGAGCCAATCAGGAGGGCCTCAGTTTTACGCACGTTGAGCTGAAGAAAGTTGTCTCTCGTCCAGGACTCAATGTCGGACAGGCAGCTGTCAGGACATCGGTGGTCGTGGAGTTGAGGGTAGAGGAGGAAAGGTAGAGTTGGGTGTCATCCGCATACATGTGGAAGTTAACCCCATGTCTGCGGATGATGTCACCAAGGGGGAGCATATAGAGGGTGAAGAGGAGGGGACCGAGGAAGAGCCCTGAGGGACACCGCACGAGACAGTGCGGGGGCCGGAGGAAAAGCCATTCGTGGAAACAAAGTGAAGACGGTGGGAGAGGTACGACCTAAACCACTCAAGGAACAGGGCCTTGAAGGTTGAGGTGGGAGGACAAGCGGTGGAGGAGGATAGCGTGGTCGACCGTATCGAATGCTGCCGATAGGTCTTGGAAGTCGAGGAGGCAGAGGGAGCCCTGGTCACAGATGGTCAGGATGTCATTGGTAACCTTGACCAGGGCAGTTTCTGTGCTATGGGCAGCACGGAAACCCGACTGAAGGGGTTCGAATACATAGATCCTAATTTAGGATCCTAATCCTAACTTGAATTCATAACCTTCTGTCTCAGGCAGACTTTCAGAAAATTAATGAAAAATAATGGTATGAATATGCATTAAGAATATTATAAAACATTTAGATACAAAAGTTCCAACTGGAATATTTTGATTAGCAATCAAACAGTTGTGATATGTGCATCAATGACTAATGCGCAAAAAGAATTGTCACCATTTCTTTCCCGACAGAAAGTCATTGATTTTCATTGAATTGTGATTAGCATGAACTGTTCCCTGAAGACACAGAGACTGAGGATTACTGGCAAATTGTTGTTTGACATTTAGCCACTTTACTCCTACAACTTTTTCTTCACTACATAACCTTTAAACCATGCTTCAAATATGTTTGTGATATTTTACAAAATCAGTGTTCATATCTGTAGAAGATATAGCTGTAAAATGTCAATGTTCATGTTGTTTATCACTGTACCTTTCATAAGTAACTATTTAAATGTTATTGATCTTAAGACTCACAAAAGGATCATGTGGCTGCAAATGTTTTGATTTATTCACGGTGTAAAATTACTTGATAAATCCTTTTATCAAAGGGGGCGTTGGTCCTTCCTCATTTTGGTTGCTATAAACCAGCATTACAGATAAAATACAGGAATTTTAAAGTTGGATTAATAAAGCTTTGTGCTTGGCATTAATCCCCAAAATCTAAGGCTTTTGGGAAACTGAATTGGTACTGCGTGAAATATTGTTTCAGTGGTAAGGAAGCAAAATGGAAACTGTATTTTTCAATATATACATACTATAGCTTAATGTCCTACAAAAAGTAGATCATATGTTATCAAAGTTCAGAAGATTACAACTTCAGGCGTCAAATTCCAAGTTAGCTCTTCCTTTCACTTTACAGACCTGACAATGTATAGCATACTTTATGTGTGTCTTTTAAATATAACAATAAGCAGCAAAACTCCTGTATCAGTTGAAAAGAATAAACGTAAGCATAATATTTGTCTTTCACTAACTCCAGATGTATTTCTCCTTGATAGATTTATTTGCGCTTTCTTGAATATCAAATGGATCACTCGAATGAATGCAAGAGAAACTTTGTTGCTGTCTATGACGGGAGCAGTGCTATTGAAAACCTGAAAGCAAAGTTTTGTAGTACGGTGGCAAATGATGTGATGCTGAAAACTGGCGTTGGAGTGGTCCGCATGTGGGCTGATGAGGGCAGCAGGCTGAGCAAATTCCAAATGTTGTTTACTTCATTTGTAGATCGTAAGTAGCCCTGGCTCATATAATATTCTCTCATTATATTCGATGGATCTCTTCATTATCTGTTTATTATTGGGTAACAGTTAACCTCACACGATAAAGCAGCTTTAAGAAGCCTACTGAACGCTATTGTAAAACTGCAGTATCATTTCCATGCCAAAAATCACACTGGTAATTTCTTTTAAATGAGTTCCTCCCAATTCCGGTTTCAGTATTGAATCAGTTGTAATTTCAGACTATTGCATGTGCTGAAACCAGATGTTCACTGGGAAACAGATTGCAGCTGTGGGAACTGATTTTGGATATGATCTTTAACAAGCTTTCAGAGAGAGAGGATCGTCAACTCCCTATCTTGGAACTCAATTTGAATCCAGGTCACACATATAGAAAGAAAAGTGCATCTCCATTGCACTCTCGTAATGCACTATGCCACCGAGTCACCCAACATGAACATCAGTAATTGATGACAAGTCAAAATGCCTCATTCAATGAAAATCAATGGGATTGCTGCATTCTCCTTACAAATTGATGTAATAATGTCTGTTTGTGTGAATACGAACTTATTGTTGGGACTCTGTTTTAATTCTGAATTTACTCCTGAATTAGACAAAGACAGAATGTATTTATTGTTACTGGACTCAATGGACTCAAATCCTTTTTTTTAAAATAATTAAAATGAATAACATAGAAGGAAAGAAATTATATATTACACGACATGGTTTTCAAAATAGATCCTTAAGAACTCACAAATTATTCACAGTTAGATGGCATTAGTTTGAAGATTTTTTTAAAAAATAATCGATTTTTAAGTTAGCTTAACCTTTCGCCTGCTGATTAAAAGGAGTTGCACACAAATGGTGAAACACCTATTGTGATTTGTATTATTTGAGCTAAAACAGATGCAGTTAAAGTTCTCCCAACGGATCAGTACACAATGTGGAGCTGAACCATACAGGCAAAAAGACTTCAGTTCAATCTCTGATCTCGGCCTGCGGCATTACTAATTGTCCGTGGTCTGAAGAGAAGAAAGGGAGTCAGGAATCCTGTTCACAATCGCTAATCTTTCTGCCCCGCTGTGAATTGACTGTATATTTTGTGGGCAAAACGCGGTAGCTAATTGCGCACAGCAGTTGATTAATTATTAATAATGGCTATGAATTCATAAGAGCTAATAATCAATAAATTGCATTAATCTACACAAATTAATAAATTTTACATGAGAGATTTGCTTCATGCTTTCACTGCACAAAATGCATCTGTTGCGATCACCTTACCTTGAACTAACCTTTTCAAAGTGTCCATTTACTGTATTGGGTTGATTGTGGTTGCTCTATCTACTTTCTTACCAGTCACGGATGAATGGCTAAGCACAGTAATACATTGCTTCTTGTATAAGATTTGAAATACAATTACTGTGTTGCACTTTATGGTCTCACAGCACCCTGCCAAGACAACACATTCTTTTGCCACAGTAACATGTGCATCAACAATTCTTTGGTTTGCAATGGAGTGCAGAACTGTGTCTACCCATGGGATGAGAACCATTGTAAAGGTAAGAATACAAGAATAATCTGTATAGAAATGAAGGACCTTGTTTGCCTAGAGAACACAGTGCAGTGGCATCTTCACGTTGCCATTTTTGTTTAGTCGAAAATGTAATTTGTACATTTTTTTATATTCTCCTGTACTCTCCTTTCCTGAAGCTGGTAACTCTTGCTCATTCTCATAAACTCAAAAGATTTTGCTGTGCTTTCAATGATTCGGTAAGCCAAGGTCTTATTTACTTGTTCGAGCAGACTTTAAAATACCACATTCTGTACTTGTGATGGCCTCTGTCTGAATAATAAAATATGTTTTGAAATATTTAATATTCCCAAAGACCATTCAATATTAAATACCCATCTACTGTCCAGTATCCCGTGACCAGTGGGTTTGGTCAAGTGTATTTGAAATGCAGCAGACAGGAATAGAAATGTTATAACATGCAGGATTTAATAATAATAATAATAATAATAATAATCCTTGCATTTGATATAGCGCTTTTCACGTCGGGAGGACGTCCCAAAGCGCTTCACAGAACATACTGCAAAGTGAATTGACTGTATATTTGTGGGCGAACGCGGCAGCCAATTGCACACAGCAATGTCCCACAAACAGTCGTAGATTGAAAATGACCAATTAATTATTGTTTTTGGTTTTTGAAGGGATTATTATTAGGCGTGTGGAGTAAGGAAACTTGCCCGAGGTTTCGCCCTCTGCCTGGAATTGAACTCAGGTCTCTCACTTGCAAAGCGAGTGCTCTAACCACTGAGCTACAGGACTCCACGAGTCCTCTGGGACTCTGGGCACAGAGTGCTTTTGCATCTACAATGGATGAATTAATGCACATCAGGATGAAAAACATGTGTCTTCAGCATACTTAGCATACTTAGCTCCAATGATCAAAAACAGTTATTTTATCAAAATCTTCCAGAATTTTTCTATGCTTCCTGAAACAACTATGGTCCACAATTGAAATTATTTTGATTTAAGTGTGAAACTATGCCCTAGCAAGAGCCAGCACCTTTAAAAGCAGAGAAAATTGGCAAAATAAATAATAATTATGTAACAACATAACCAATAACTGATACTGACCATGTAACAAATGGCAATTGATGTGGAAATTAATGATATATAGGAGAATAAGCAGCTAATGTGGTGCATATTATTCATTTATACATTGGCTGCAAATTACTATTGATAGGTTTGTGCCAAAATTATTCAAACAGATTTTATGTAACAAAAATGTTCTGCATACATTTCTGTAATATTAAAACATGATCAGAGATCCACCACTTAGAACATATTAAGATCATGGGACTCTTAAATTCCCTTTTGAGTTCTAATAGTTTGTACCCCAGTTAATTTGCTCCAAATAGCTTCAAATGAAAATCTGAAGTATCAGGCGATAAGGAAGATGCACTGCCATGTACTGTAATAAAAATAATAGCATTAAAACTGAATTTGTGTAAGTGTCCAAACAGACAAAACTCAAGCTCTGTCTTTTGATATGATCTTCTCACCTGCAGATAAAGTCGATCAGAGAATAATGAACACTTTAACAGGAGCAAGAGATATCATTACACTGAAATGAATGTTCTCTTTAACAGTTATTAGCTCTGTCAGTTTTATGGGTAGTTGCTGATAACTTGATAGATTTTAGATAATGGTACCTTTCAGAGGAACCTAGAACTAAGCTGATGGAAAACAATGTGCATTACGGATCAAACCCAGAATCTATTCTAAATAAGGTGCCCAAAATGTTCATGGTCAAATACTCATTTGTGATTCAACTGGAGTCATCCTTTCCTTTTGAATTAAATGCATAAACGTTATTTATTCCAATCTCAGTGTGTTGCTGATCCATACAGACAAGCATTCTATTCCTAATCAGCTCTATGTGCATTCTAAGATGAGTCAGCTCATCTCAACCGCGCTAGCATTAGGGATGGTATAATTGTCTGCAGCAAGACAGGCATCTTGCTCCTGATCACAATTCAGTAACCTCGACTGCAAAGTGTGTGTGGTAATCTTAGATAAGTACAGTTTGGGCACAACTGTCATGCCAACTTGCCAACACACACGGACTAAGCTCTCAAGATTGGGCCACTCGTGAAACTGTAATAATAATCCTTGCATTTGATATAACGCCTTAACAAGTTATTGTGATGTCTCAAAGCGCTTCACAGAATATACTTTAAAGTGAATTGACTGTATATTCTGTGGGCGAAACTGTATCCTAGAATGAATCATTAGGAAGGCCAATAGAAAATTGCGGAAATATTTGCCCAAAATTGCAAGGTGGGGTGGGGGGGGGGTAGCGAATTTGCAGCAAAATTTGATGGAAATTGCGAGGGGCAATTGGTGCTATTGAGGTACATTATAATAATAATATTATAATAATTATAACGCAAACCTATGTTTTTTCACTTTTTTGTCTGGAACATGCACTGAGTTCATGACTCAATAGCTTCAGGAAAGGAGTCAGAAAATTGGAGGTGGAAGAGACATTCAAACAGATATTTTTTAATATATTCAAAATGATCCTCTTGTGCCTATTTACATTGAGAGTTTTTACACATTTGCATATTTGTACCTTTTCAGAAAAGAAAAAGTCTGGACTCTTTCATCAGATTACCAAAACTCATGGAACTATCATTGGTATTTCTTCAGGCATCGTTTTGGTGCTTCTTGTCATTTCTGTGCTTGTACAAGTGAAACAACCTCGGAAAAAAGTTTTGGGTCGGAAAGCAGCTTTTAACAAATCGGGGTTTCAAGAAGTGTTTGATCCCCCGCACTATGAGCTGTTTTCATTGAGAGATAAGGAAATATCAGCAGATTTGGCCGATTTATCCGAAGACTTCGAGAACTATCATAAACTGCGACGATCCTCATCCATTGCTTCCAGGTGCATCCACGATCACCACTGTGGCTCACAGCCATCAAGTATAAAGCAGAGCAGGACTAATTTAAGCTCAATGGATCTTCCATTTCGGAATGACTTCACACAACCACAGCCAATGAAGACATTTAATAGCAGCTTCAAGAAAAGCTGCTATACTTTAAAACAGTCACAAGACTGTCCAGAGCAAGTCATAGAAGACAGAGTAATGGAAGAGATTCCTTCTGAAATCTACGTACATGGGAGAAATGATACTGTTCAGCGTTCAATGTCCATTGACTTCTGAAGTTTAATTGCCGTTACACATGCATTTCTGGCTTCTTTTTCACTTACCAAGTGCTACTCTGTCACTTCAACATTTCATTTAGTGATTGACATAGTCCTAAAAGCCACGTCAATGACATACATCAAGCTGGGTCTATTACCACAGACTGTTTGTCTTGCCTCTGCCCTTCTCTATGGGATCATTTCTGTAAAGTGAACTCCCTGTACAATTCTTTCTACAAGACCGCTGTGTTCTGAAGCCTGTTAATATTGTATCATTGGTTGGAATTACTGAATGTAAGTACGCAAAGATTTCTTTTAAATCTTTTGTATCATGCTGTTAGCCCATTAATCGTAATACAGTACTTCACTCCACTGGAGAAAAGCTTTTTGATTGATGTATGAGACATTGCACTGCAATTATTTTAAAAGTATCACTTTTTTAAAAAAAACTTAAAAAGCATTTTTTTTGTAGACTTTGCTATACCCAATGGTTTTGAATGGCAGAATTATTTTAAACCTTATTTCCTAAGTTTTTTTTAACACCAGTTAATTGCACCCAATTCGGATTGAACAACCACCTGGAATGAATTACCATTAATCAATTGACAGGATCATGTATTTGCAAGTTTAAATAAAAGGCTTATTGAAATGTAAATGTAGTTCTTGAGTTCTGTGCACAGTATTCCGAATGCAACTGTTCTGTATTACATGTATTGAAAAACCTAATATTCTACGAAACCTCACCCAATGTCCACACATACATACTTTCAGAGAGACAAATATAATGATCAATATAATGCTGAAACCTTGATTTGTCTCTCTCTAGCCTAGTATGCTGAGGCCAACTGTAGCACCCCAACAGATATGTCAGCTGCCAACTCAGTACAGATTGGGCATCAAATTTGGAATCTTCTTAGTTTTTCTGGCTCATTTTTTCTCTAGAAAGTTATGTTAGCAAATGAGTGATTGGGTAGGTTATATGTTTTCTTTCTAAAGTACCCACTGTAAACAGATCGATAACTAGCTAGAACTCTACAAAGATTGCCTATATTCACATCATAGCTGTAAGCACATCAACTGTTTTCAAGCAATAAACAAGAACAATGTTGATTGAGGATGAGTTAGCAGCAGCCTGATCACATCTAGACAAAATTACTCATCCTTGGCTTAGTGAGATATGATACGAATTGTATTGACGTGCAGTTTGCCAAGTAGTTGCACTGGATTTATGAGACTGCATTAAAAGCATCATCTCGTATAAATTACAATTTTATTTTTTTGTAGCCATCACTTGTGCTATAAGATATAAAAATATGTATATTGGAAGCTTGAACATTCTAAACACTGTGTCTGCTGATTTCTTCTGCGTATTTTATTGCAATCTTTCATATTTTGATCAATAATTCAGCAATATCAATTGACAGAAACACAATACACAACATAGACTTGTGTCTGGGAACAATTGCAACCTTGCAACCTATCAAGCTACCGGCCCATCTCCAACCTCCCTTCCTGTCCAAGGTCCTGGAACGAGTTGTCGCCTCCCAGCTGCACTCTTTCCTCTCCACCCATTCATTATTCGAACCCTTCAGTCAGGTTTCCGTGCTGCCCATAGCACAGAAACTGCCCTGGTCAAGGTCACCAATGACATCCTGACCATCTGTGACCAGGGCTCCCTCTGCCTCCTCGTCCTCCTCGACCTATCGGCAGCATTCAATACGGTCGACCACGCTATTCTCCTCCACCGCTTGTCCTCCCACCTCAACCTTCAAGGCCCTGTTCCTTGAGTGGTTTAGGTCGTACCTCTCCCACCGTCTTCACTTTGTTTCCACGAACGGCTTTTCCTCCAGCCCCCGCACTGTCTCGTGCGGTGTCCCTCAGGGCTCTGTCCTCGGTCCCCTCCTCTTCACCCTCTATATGCTCCCCCTTGGTGACATCATCCGCAGACATGGGGTTAACTTCCACATGTATGCGGAGGACACCCAACTCTACCTTTCCTCCTCTACCCTCAACTCCACGACCACCGATGTCCTGACAGCTGCCTGTCCGACATTGAGTCCTGGATGAGAGACAACTTTCTTCAGCTCAACGTGCGCAAAACTGAGGCCCTCCTGATTGGCTCACGTCAGCGCCTCCGCACCTCAGGCGCTGACAGCATCAGCATCCAAGGCTGCACTCTCCACTTCTCAAAGCCAGTCAGGAACCTCGGGGTTCTGTTTGACCCTGAGCTGTCCTTTCTCCCTCATATCTGCGCCACAACTGGCACCACCTTCCATCACCTCCGGAATATCGCCAGACTACGGCACTACCTCACCCCTCACGCTGCTGAAACACTGGTCCACGCCTTTATCACCTCAAGGCTGGACTATGGGAACTCTCTCCTCGTCGGTCTTCCCGGCACCTCCCTCCACAAGCTGCAGGTCATTCAGAACTCTGCAGCTCGTGTACTGTCCCGCACCAGGCTTCGGGACCACATCACTCCCACCCTCGCTCGCCTCCACTGGCTCCCCATCCCCCAGAGGGAATCAAGATCCTCATCCTCACCTACAAGGCCATTCACGGCCTCGCTCCCTCCTACCTCTCCGACCTACTATCCCCCTACATACCTGCCCGTACCCTCCGTTCCTCTGGCTCCGGTCTGCTCCACATCTCCTGCCCCAACCGCCCTACCATCGGTGGCCGGGCCTTCAGCCTCTCAGCCCCCAGGCTCTAGAACTCTATCCCCCAGTGCCTTCGCCTTGCCTCCTCCTTTTCCTCCTTCAAGGCCGGTCTCAAGACCTTTCTCTTTGACCGTGCCTTCAGCTCCCCTCTCGACTCTCTACCCCTTCCTCGCTCCCTCTCTTCCCTCCCCTCACCCTGACCATTTCCCCCATGCTCGGGTCCTGACCCAACTGTACAGCGCCTTGGGACGTCCTCCCGACGTGAAAGGCGCTCTATAAATGAAATCTTGTTGTTGTTGGACAGTTCAAAGAATTTTTTTNGCATTTGATGGTAATGACATATATTTTCAGGCTCCAGGCTATTTTATTCTTCAATTAATCTATAAACTGTAGAATTCCAATCATTATAGCGCATATTTCAAAGACTTGAAAGATTGTGCTTGTTATGTATATGTGAAAGGGTCAATTTAATTTCACTTCCATTATACACACAAACTTTGCCATGAAATGCCTTCTGTGCTTCAATTCATCTATGTATTGAATTTTTCTGGCAGTTGAGGTGTATGCCTGCACATAATAAAGTTTAAAGTCTATACGCTGTAAAATTACAACAATGGGCATTGCAAATAGGGGAGAAAGGAAAGTTAAGACATGGAATTTTTTTGGATAAAGTGTTGCAATTTGGTCAAAAAATGTTTTGGATTTTCACAATTCATCTCCAAAAACACATCATAAATTTAATCTGTTAATTTAGGACATTTAGGAATCTGAAAGATTAAATAATTTTTCCAATAAATGTGATAGTCCACGATTGTTATTCTAAAGAAATCTATATAGTTCCTGTTTACAATAAACAATCTTTGATGATTATTTTGTGTCAGACAATACTAGTAAATTAATAATTTATATTTTGTGTTATACAAATGTTTGTTTTACATGCTCTCTTACATTATAGAGGCTTAAACTATACCATTCTTCAGCGCTCCAAGACACTACCCAGCATGAAGGATTCCATATAAATTCAAGTGGTTGTTTTAGTATATCCTGTTCAAAAATTACTATTGAGAGAAAAAAGGGAGTGCACCAAACTATGTCCTGGCTGACAATTCCACAGATAATTGTTTGTCATGCATTGTATATGCAAACTGGTTGTCATCATGTTCACCTAAAATGTACACATTCACTTACAAAACACACATTCACCACATTTTAAAATACATCCTGTGCTGTGCCATTCCATTGTAAGGTGCATCAAACCCGAGCCTGATCCTATTTTTACTCACTGTACACAGTGCATTTTTCCTATTTGAACTCTGTTGAGAAAACATATGCCTAAAATGTTTTCCCCTCTGTCACCTGAGACTGATTCTAGCTCCACTGTCGTCTTGCTAAGATCAGCTAACCCAGCACAGTGCATGGATTGAACCTGGGGACCTTCACAGTCTGAAGTTTCTATTAGTCTGAATAAACCCACCGAGCCATCAAGGGAGCTTATTGTCCTCTTTTAATGCCTGTAGCTGAAACTTCATTAACAGCAAAATATCAGGACATGAAAATATATTTTATCTCTAGTTTATAATAAAAACTAATTTAAATTGATATTAGAAAGTCAAATCGGAAACACACTGCTAAGGAAAAGTTCTAAAGCTTTTCTTAAGCTCTGCATAGACTTCTGAATTCTGATAAGTCTTTTCCCATTACACTGAAGTATGTGCTCGGAAAGTGCAAGTAAGCCTACAGGGGAATTTACACTCTCTTTCAAATCAGATTCTTAACATCTGGTGACTGAACTTCTCAGATATTGTTAATGTCAGCCGTTCCACCATTATTGGTGTTAAAGTTTAGAAGAATATTCCAGCTGTACCACAGTAGCTTCTAGGAATCAATAGCTATGTTGCTTGCAAGGAACAATGTCTGGGATTATGAGATATTCATGATTTTTGCAAAGTAAACACATTCCCCCCCCAAAAAAAACTAACCTTTATATAGTACAGTAATGTCCAGATGATCTGCTAGCTATATCCTAAGCAGTCAGATATTACAATTAGTGGATATTTCTTCATTACCAGTTGTGATTGACTTACGACCTCTGATACCCCAATGTACAACATTTCGCATTCTTCTCCAAACTCACTGTTTAAGAACAATTAGCAGGTAAGAACACTAATTTGGTTGAGGTAATGTCAGCAGCCAAACAATCCTGCTCTCCCAACTAAAAGAAGCCAAGGAAGCAGAAATGCAATAGAATGGGGAAAGAAGACAGAGAGGTGGAAGGGCAACTGAAGGCACGACCGAAGAGGAGGGTCTTGAGACTGGCCTTGAAGGAGGCGAGGGAGGAAGCGAGGTGAAGGGACTGTGGGATGGAGTTCCAGAGTGTGGGGACAGAGAGGCTGAAAGCCCGGCCACTGATGGTAGGGCAGGTCGGGCAGGAGACATGCAGCAGGCCGGAGCCCGCTGAACGGAGGGAGAGGGCAGGTTGGTAGGGAGGACGTAGGGGCATTCTAGAGATTTGCTCATTTACATTTGATAGAAAGGGAAGAAACACTTTAGAACCTTCCCTCAGGATATTAAATATTGGCGCAAACTACCTGATGGAGCCGATTGTATTATGGTCTGAGAAGGGAACGGACATGATTGGCTCAATCTCTTTGTATCAGGAGGTTGGAATCTCTGTTTTATTAAATTGAACTTGTTTACTTGTGATTTTAATAACTTTGCCGTATGATATTGCTTCCATGTTTTATTTATTCTTCTGAATTAAATTGAAACAGAATGTAATAGTCTGATACTTCCATCAAGCCATCGCTTGGTAAACTAATGCTACTGGGTGCTGATGTTCACTGTTATTTGCTTGTAATGGAATTCTGAAGCTATATTCAGACCTTTCTTGCATAAAAAGTGAATTTAGCTTAATTATTTAAACAGTTACCTTGTGTTGAGTCTCATCTCTAGCAATTTGATTACCCAGCAGCCTTAAGCTCGCTCAGTTCCCAGCAGCAATAATTGTTGAGAAGTGATAAAAGACCTACAATTAGCCTTAGGAAACTTGCTCCAGAAAGAGAAGAATCAGCCAGGATTCCTGTTGTTGATGGCTATCCGGGAACACCCTCCTGAAAGGTACAAACAAGTGTGTAGAATCCAGGACAGCATTTGACTCGGCTGTGATTATCTTTCCATGGCCTTCTTTCGATGGTCAAGCAATCAGGAAATATTCACTGTCCATCCTTACAGATGAATAGTTTCAACTTGTGTGAGGTACTGGGTGGCAATCAGGACTAACTGAACACCACACGGCATGAGTTAGTCCTATAAGGAGAGAACAAACATCCTGGATATATTAAATAAAACAATGTCAATCAGTTTCGAGCAACACGGGGAGGAGATACTTTGCTTCTGTTTAATTATATGACTCATATTTAATCATTGTGTTGTGTGAATAGCAATTTGACTGCTTTTAGAATTTTACAAATGA